AATAAAAAATCTAGTTCAATCCACAACTCGCCGGGTATAGAGTACAGCTTCCGGGATAGTACTATCACAGCTCCATTGGAGTGGAATACATAAACAAAATTGCGCCGCTTAAAAAAACCCAGTGAAAGTCTGAAAAACCTTCACTAATGACTTTAGTAGTTGATGCCGGGTGGAATAACCGATATGAAGAGAAAAAAAAAAAACTTTCCAAACTGAAGCTCAATCCATATGTATTACTCTTAACGAATACTCAAAGTTGAACGGGGGGGGATGGGGTAAAAATTGAAAAAGTTGAGCCAATCTCGTGTAATCCCGTTGGAATTATTAATGCCGTCCCAATTTCTCGGTAAAGTGGCTGCGGGAATTTATACACAATTAATATAAAACTTATGTGCACTTGAGTTCTTGGAATGAACCATTCCCCGTGGCTGTGGGAGAATGAATTTTCCAAGAAAGCCCCATTTACTCTATCAACCCCTATTCAGCCTTACAAATGAAGTACGGAGGAGGGTTGACAGGGAAAGCTGGGCATAAAGTACCTTGAATTTTATCACTTGTGTTTTTGGAATAAGTAGAGTGAGAGTTTTATGTGCGTGCCCGGTATTAGAAGCCCTATAATCTCATATTTTACGCAATGAAATACGATGGCACTTTGGAGAATAGGGCTATGACCTCGTTTTTAAGATGGAGAAATGAAATTCGCCCTCCGGCACGTCAAGTACCTTTTCACACGCATGATTTCAGATTTTTTAAAATAATTTTACTATTATTAACTGGCTCAATAGTTTTTTTCAATAAAATAAGAAATTCTTTGAAAACACAACTCAGTTTTCAGTTATTCTTAAATTAGTTCGTACAAATTTTGTTTAATATCGAGTTTCCGATTCCACGGCTGTGGAAAAATTTTCACCACCCGCAAATTATCGAAACTTGAAGCCCCGTGAGTCTTTTCCCCCAAATCGAATTCCACATTGCCCTTCTGAAAATTATTACCCAATTGAACGCGAAATCCAATCCCCTTTGACATACTGTACATTCTTCGAAAAAACTTCCTCAAACTATTTCTCCATGTAAATCAATCCCTGAATTAATTTCAACTCCATAAAAAAATCATCTCCCAATAAAAAAAAAGCCTTTCTATTAAAATGTAATTATTGCTGCAATTCTTTCGGCAGTCGCTAATACAATTATTTACGCCAAGTAAATTTGCGAATTACGAGGAAATGAATTGCTTCAAAAAAATATTCCTGCACACCTACTTGTCCAGAGTAAATTACCTTGGCAGAAATGACTGGAATTATCCATTTGTCCTTTTTTTCACGGTACCAAAAATATGGAAAACACGGATTTATTTTGTGACGCCCCCCGAAAAATCCTCTAACCCCCAACAATGTCAACGGGGCGCAGCAGTAAATTGAAAATACATAAAAAATGGGATTTATTTTGAGGTGTGAAAACAATCTGACGCGCGAAAACTCATAAAAACTTAGAGAAGAAAAATATGCTATGTCACGCTTATGAGTATGCATGCGTGTCACAGCTAATTCCCTTAAAACACCCTGGGGGGTTTACAACCTCGAGTCGGATAATTATTATTATGCTAAGTGTCCTGGATACCCGTGGGCTGATCCCAGAACGTGTAGCTAGAGAAAATATTTTATAGCGTGTAATATATTCACAAAATAAATAACAATCACACGAAAATCTAACTTTGTATAAGAAAATCAAGATGGATAATTTCCTGGAGTTCCAATGATTGCCGGATGATTCTGGGGTGCATCCAAAGTTCAAAGGGCTGAATCACGAAATGAGTCTGTGAGCTTCCTATTGCCTTGATGGCACCAAGTATCAACAGTTTCAAGATCTAGGAGTGGTAGAAATCACTCAGTCGCACATATATCCTTCAGGGAAGCAGCTAATTGCCTCGTTGAGCTTTACGACGCAATAATACTATAAACGCGTTGAGTATTAATTACGTACACTCATGCTCTTAAAATTTTGTAATTCAGTGCGGAGGAGATTAACTGCAAGTCAAATTCAATTCGTTTGAAAAACGAATTTATGGGGAATCGATAAGGGGATATGCCAACCGATTTATTAGATTGAAAGGAGAAATTACTTTCGCTCAACAATTACGCAGGAGCGACCAGCTGAAGGGTACAAGTCAATTTAGGTAATTGGTAAGTTTTCGAAGAATATCTTTTAATCTGAGGGAAGTAGCGACAATTTGGTTAGGACCTTTTTTGTAGGGCTCAAACCACTCTGCAAATTAAGTCTTTATGATAATTTCACTATTTTCATTAGATTGAGAGATATTCCCGGAAAATGGAGGACGAAAAGCGTCAATTTGCTAGGCTTTAGTTTTCCGCTAGTGATGTATTGCACGTAAGACTATTCCATCGAGGAAAAAGGGTTCACTGGCACATTTACCAATTATCCATTAGTTTTTATAAATATTCGTTTTGGTCACAAAAAATTTGTAAGTTAATTCGTAAAATTCAAAGTTGCTCACCAGAAATTTTGAAATTTTAAATTAGTTTACCCTTACAAAAACTTTTGGTGTTGCTCACAGACAAATGGAATCAATACATCAAACCCCAAAAAATATATGAAAGCATGAACCCTGTTTCCTGTATCTTATACTCTTTCACCTAGGGAATAAAAAAAACTCAAGTACATGAGTGATTCAGTATTTTTTGGTGTGATCGCCCCTCAAAGTAAATGTTTCACCGTTATCCTCAGATGATCTATTCTTCCCGGCTGTAAATCATCCCTCAACCGAGATCATTTTATCCCCAAGACAGAAGCGGATAAAAATCCTTAGAGAAGGAGAAAAATCGGCTGAGCAGGGGTTCCACATCCCTCGTAATTTCTCACAGTATGTGTGCGTGCTCTATAATTTCTAGAGAATGCGAAAAACTTCAATCAATGATCATTAATCGCGATTGGTAATCGATGAGAGATAGTTCAACAGGAGAATTGTACCCTTGACCCCAGTTGTTCACCGCGATCCTAATCCTCCATTACCCTAGTGAAGATTTCTGATAGTCCCTCTACCTCCCTTCAACAATTTCCCGGTCTCAATCTTATCTTTAGTACCTGTGCGAGTACTTAAAGTGGTCTCCCAAGGATATACCACACAAATCTCGTTGCCCACAATGTGTCTCGTATGTGACAAATGAAAACACTTTGCCCTCGACTAGAGGGAATTTTTATTGCCCTTCGCGTCAAGATAAATAATCCCCAGGAGCTTACACTATTACTAAACGTCAGGCGAAATTTTACTAGAAATTTTCCCATAAGAAAGCTTTCTCAATGGGGATTAATTGACACCCCATGAAATTCCCCATAAAATTAATATTCACACGAGAAATAGTGCATGAATGAGGAAGAGATTTTTTCTGCATTTCGCAGAGAATTTCTTTCAACAGAAAAAAGGGAAAACTAGGCAAATTAGTATCTGAAGATTCTGATGAATGACTTCCCCTTCCCCTTCCCCGACAATTCATCGTATGTGCATTCATCATATTCGATATGGGATCCATATATATCCCACGAGATGTACAAACGATATGGGAAAATGTCTCTTTGCTCTTAGGCAAATGCAAAGTACTCGACTCCATTTCAAAAGTTGCTGGTGAATTTACGCATTTCGCTGGGTGTGAGATGTACCAAAGGAGTTGTACAGGTGTATACATAACAGTGTGTATGTATACTCTGGAAAAGTAATTTCTTGAAACTACTCATGGAAACTCGTTTTATAAACATCTGCTGGTCACGAGTGGTTCTGTCTGAAGAGAGACGGTCGCCGATTTTTTATAAAAGCTCTCTCAAGACCCCTTGCTTCCTGTTTACAACGAATATTTTCATTATAAAAACGACGGGAATTTTTGCGAACAAGTACGCTTGAGTTCGCGATATTTTTCCGCTGTTTTTGGGATAACATCGCGGAACAGATGGTCAGCCGGTACGTTACGAGTTTCTAAAGTGGAGTTTGTGATAATTAACGGTTCGTTAGTTATCGAAAGCATCATTTTTCCAGTTTTTTATAACGAGCGGTGATTAATTCCGCGTAAACTATTTCAAACTGATGATTTTCAGAAATATAAATTTTCCAATTTCATGCGGGATGGCATTAATAAAAATTTCAATGAATATCAATATTAACCCATTACCTCAAATCATTAAAAATTTGTTGTTGCAATTTTTACTTACATTCACTTCGGGGTTGAATTTTATTTCCGCTCCAATGACCACTCAAAAAATATAAAACTAAAAATAATTAATCAATCAAATTAATGGATTCTAGATTGAAATAATCACACAGATTCATTGAGTCGAAGTAATTTTTTTGAGTGCATATTTTTGTCGTTCCGAATCAAGTGGAAAAATGGAATTAAGTCAGCCAGAAATTCCCGTTTGCTTCTTTTGGAGTCGGACTTAATATAATTCAGTTCCACTTAATTCAAGTCAACATTTTTGGGCTGTTTGACGGTTGTTTATCCTTTTGCTTTATATTGTTGAAATTCTGAGTGAATCGCTAATCTCAATTGTTGATTAAATACCGCATTATCCGCTGATTGGTCTGACACATTCCGAATTCGCGGTTTCAACGTAAATTTAATTCCCGAGATGATGTATCGTGTCATAAACACGGAAGCGCGCCATTCCCATATCTTCAATCTTCATACTCCAAAATTGCATACACATCGTCGAATGGAATCGCAATATCTCGCACGTTGTCATGCTCATCGTCGATTGGTCCAATCCGACGTTTAAGTTTACGTCGGACGTAAAAAGGGCGGGCGCGGTGTGCATACCTGATATCTTTAAACGCGAAATAGCTTTCCCATCGTGATACCCTATATCGAACTAGAGTGTTCGAATAATAGACATTGCCGGCAAGATGTGACATTGCCAACAATTCGGATGCAACCATCAAATACCAAAATTACAGGTGCCACATCAATTAAACTCAAATTGGATTTTGATGATTGCAGGCACAACGATTTACCCTGGAATATTCGCAAGTTCCTGAAAAATCAACTGCGTGACTTTAGGTTTGAGGATCTGAAAGGCAGCCAGCCGTGGTCACAATCAGCCTGGAGTCACACTGATCTCAGAAGACTGAAGGAGGGCATGGTAGCAGCTCAAGTGAGTATTTACACACAGGTTAAGTGCCTCAATTAGTAAACCAACCCGAGTTCAGACCATTCACCCATCTGTATTTCCCTTATTAACAAAGTTAATTTCAGGTTAAATGGGAACTCCAGTGTAATGGGTTTTCGAAAAATAATTGGGGGCTTTTGTTACCGGAAATATCGGGCTTCTTCTGGGAATAATTGTTACATACAGCTCAATGCGACTGGGAATTTTTCACCGGAACGTGGTGTACACTTCGGAGTCAAATCAATAATGAGAGTTTATAATAGCGGAGGGTCGGGTTAAATAAACGGTGTGATGAGACAGACCGACGGAATTTTTATAATTTTTTTTGACAATGGAATTGATAATTGGTGTCAATCGCATCTGAATATCAGTTAAAATGAGAACTCAGCTATTAGCACTTGAGAATTCGATGAATTTCTCACATGGACTGAAATATTCAATGAATTACGGACCTGGAATTCAGCTATCGATTACCGAAGTGATGAAGAAAAATTACGCAACGGTATTGTAATTTTCACAGAAATACCAGATAAAAATTACGATAAACTCTAAAAACGCTCGTTTCCCTCAAATTATTATGTAATTAATTATTCCCGCGTCTTTTCCTCTCATTTTTTCCCCCGGATAGTGGGCCATAGCTTGGGAAATATTTTTTTAGTGCGATACAACTGCCAGGAGTAGTGAAAAAAGGAGTAAAATTTTTTTGTTGAATTTTGCCAATCTATTCATTGCTTTCCGCGCGTACCGTGATTCCACCAGAATTAAACATATTTTTTCCCCCAACAAGTGACAATAGCATCAAGTCATTTTCGGTTTACTCGTGTTTTACTGTAAAAAACAGAATATTGGAGAGAATGGAGGTTGGAAAATGGATCGAATGCAGCAGTAACGAGGCAGAAATACCAAAGCGCATGCTGTATTTGTCAGGATGCTACGGCGAAGCGTGAAAAACAGGATGTGATTATGAAAAATTATTTGTCACTCGTGTGGAATACACTCGGAAAGATGATACACGTATGAAAATGTATAAAGAATTGAAAAAAAAAACCTCTGCTCTAGGTACCGCCATGAAGACGCGACTATTTGTATTACCGTGAATAATTCGAGATACCCGGGATGTGAGAGTCACGAATGAAACAGCCAGCGCTCGAGTACATTTGTAATGGGAAAATTCCCACAGGGAAAAAGTAATTTTCGAAACTGAACAAAAGCCCATACTGTTGATTTAAAAATGTTAATAGCTCTTTGTTCCACCTCGACAACTGGTTGAATTCTAAAAGCCCCTCGTATGTGTTTCATTAAATTTGATTGGATGCTTCAATCTATGAAGTCCCGAAAAATCCACTTTTGCAGAATTTCCATGAGAAAATATTTCATTATGATTCTATGGACATTATTTTTAGAGCAGAAAATCGTTTATTATTCTTGAAAATTAATAATTGTTTCATTCTTTAAACTGTTTTGTATTTGACCGGTAAAATTTTTTATTTTTCTCACATTTACGGATTTTTCAACACTGAAGGAAAAATACCGTGGATTCAACTGAAATTTGTGGCGGGTGAATTTTTTCATGATCAGCAAAATGAACGCATTCACTTGTGAATTGTTATGCTAGGGTAAGTGCTTTTCATTTCACACGTTTTTTTTTTTTTTTGTAAAATCGCTGCCACAAATGAGTGAGAAGTAGTTCAACCGGTAAAATGGACGTAAAAAACAAATCCATTTATCCCAATTTACCAATAAACACCAGATTTGATATGTATTTTTACGTCCCCTTCAACAACACGAAAATTTCGGAAAATTATTCGCGGTCCAAAACGGCTATTCAAAAAACACCCCAACGCGTAAAAGTACGAATGAATATCGCTGGCCTGATAAAAATGGCTGCTTTAAGAAAAAATAATAATGTTCATAATAATGGGGAACAAATGAAATTGCACTGGATGGAATTTACCCCTCGATTTACCCTCAGCATGCAAAGGAGCAAAAGATGAAACTTTATACGTAGTCTCTACCACGAAGGGCAAATTCACATTTTGAGAATTTCTATTCCACCAGGATCTTGAGGATCGGTTCTCTGGAGCGATTCAACTGTGGGGAATGTAGGGCACATAACGCCTCAAGCAAAATTTGCCGGATAGCAATATTCATGTCAAGAGATCGATAAATGTGGGTAGACCATTTTCCCCTCTGGTATGAAACAAAATTAAGTTATTCATATGAATATAAGATTACGCAATTCTTCTCCACCTCAATGCAAAATCATTTGACAATCAGTGATTTCAGACCCCATAGCCCTCTTTTCCGATATACTGCTCTCACTGAATCAACATATATTTAAATTCCGACGTTAAATGTATCTCCATATTTTTCATTCCTATCTGAATTTTTTTACCCTCGCCCAACGTTGTCAAATGTCTTTTATCGTGACAAAATATTGGAAACCAGAGTAGAACCAGCAGTACATTTGCTTTTATTTTTATTCGATATGCGGCTGCGGTTCGCCTTCATTCAAATCGCTCAATCAACGTCAAGCGACAGTCTAAACTGTTTTACATCAAAAGTTCGGTATAAACATTCGTTCACTGGATAAATGAACAATGCGATTGTCAAGTAATTAACTTGCAGCTGCGTTAATTAACGCTCAATTAAATGTAGACCAAATGTCCGTTACAATCGGTATTCATATAATAAATGGGCAATCGAAAATAAAACAGATTTTCAATCGTTTTATTTCTCTCAGCGGTTCCTTTACGTTGGAGTTTCATGAGGAAAATGATAATTAAACGCTAATGAATATTTCTTGGAATTGCAAAGGCCATTTCCTCTGTCACATTTGATATCGGGACTGGGGCATAAATAATTCGCTCATCAAACAATGGAATTCAAATTGGAGTAATCACTACAGATAAAAACGAGTGGTCCCCCAGAGTGGAGTTTAATAAAATTAAATAGTATAAATAGAATATACCGTGTACGATTGGAAAGGGCATTTGTATTTGTTTTGACTTTTAGGAATATCAAATGTCGAAAGATATGAGACTAGGGAAACCGCAAGTTCTTCTGCAATTAATTAATGAATTCCATTGATTCATTGCGGTTCAAGATAATGGGGAAAAGAATGATTAATTACTGAACGATATTATAGTCGAAATTGGAGAGTTGGGGAGTGAACTTGGATATTCCTCAGATTTGATTTTCATCGAAGATTCAAAGTCTTCCTTTTCATTCGCATAAATGCAGAATTAAAAAATGAATGAATTCCAAATCCTTCGCACGGACCCACATCAAACCGATTTTCTGCATGAATGTGAGAATGCTTCGTATGCATCAGAGTCCAAGAGTAGGATGCAGGTATGTGACTGACATGTGGGGAGTGACAAAGCGTACTTGTTTTGTTGCCATGAGTAAATAAACGTGCAGTCTATTATTTCGTACGCAGACGGCAGAGGACAAAGGACAGCGACCATCCGTGTATTTATATTTACCTCAATGAACACGGTATTTCTGAAGTGAAATGTAATGCAGAAATAATAATTTTCAGTTTTGGTCGGCGTACGTGCCATGCTCATCCCAGCATCTCGATTCAGTTCAATTGGCCCTCGAGCAGATAGACTTAATTCGCCGTCTTGTTAATAAACATTCACAGCATATGGTTGTTGTTACAACAGCTGAAGGTATGTGCAATTTTCTACTTTTATGCATTCATAAACGTAACATTAACACCGAGAATTTGTCCATTGTTCCAAATATTTTTAAACACCTTTGCTGCTGAACCGAAATCATCATTATCTTTATTCCACTAATTTTTATTTAATAATTATTTATTCATGCGTTTGCACTGAGAAAAGATATTATTTCTACTAGACTAATACAGAGAACTAAACGCCCGAAATTTTTGCATAAATTCGCCATTTGAATTCGCGTCTCGAACGAATTTGTTTGCCAATGGTAAATTTAATTGGGAAGATATTTTTTCTGCGCGAAAGTGTTCCGATGTTATCTAAAGGGGGCCGCTTGAGAAATTAATAGAATAATAATTGATTTAATTAATGATGCAGTGAAAAGATTTTTGATAGATTGGCCTCTTGTGTTATTCTCAATATTGATGCGATTATCTCCTTCAGCAAAGTGGTCTATATCCCTCATGACCAATTCTGTAATCATTTACAACGCAACCTGTCCACAATTTCGCGCTGGTCATATTAACTGAATGCCTCCCTGTAGAATTCCTATTGCCATCTTGTGACCACTTCAAATTAATACGTTAACAAGTCTTTGCTTGTGCTCCTTTGAGTATCGAACTTTAATCCGCTATTACAAATAAAAAGAAGCAATATTTACACTAAAAAGCTACTTTCAAAATAGCAATAATCAATTTGAAATTGAATCCAATAACAATCAAATGATTTTAAATAAGTGGTTTATCATTTTAGATAGTCATTCTGTGATTCGAGAAGATATTCGAAAGTTTTGGCCGCCATTACTCCATTTTTAAGGAAAACATATATATATTATTCCGCAATCCTTAATATAATGATCAAAAATTAATTTCAGGAATCGAAAAAGCCCACAAAGAGCATAGATTAGCCAGTCTTATAGGAGTTGAAGGTGGCCACGCCGTCGGGACGAGCTTAGCTGTGCTAAGAATGTTCTACGAGCTTGGCACAAGATATTTAACCTTGACACATACATGTAATACCCCTTGGTGAGTACCTAAATTGTTAACCAAAAGAGCCTTCCCGCGAAACGAATATTTAATTAAAACTTGTTCAATCCCGTCACTTATAATTGATTCCCTCCGAAATAAATCAGTGAGAGAGATCAGAATAGATTCTCCAAATTCTCGAACAATGGATAAACATCTTTATCAATCCAGTACATAACTTTTACGCATGAAATAGCTTCATAATTAATAGCATCAATAGTTTGAAAATGACGATGGAATAAGAAGCAGTTAAAGTAGCAGCACGAGGTGAAAATTGACGTCTTGAATATTCATCACTTTTCCGATAGTCCAACGAAAGTTTCTTACATAATGGCTTTAATTCTTTAATAGACGCATTGAAATGCGCAGCGTCCGAGGAATTCCTTGGAGTTAATCAGTGGTTCAAAGGGAAGAGCACTCAAGAAATTAATGTGCTTGTCCAGGAAATAATATTACCGTCGAAATTTCAATTTCTTTCTGTTTTAAAATCACCCAAAGGTACAATGATCGCAGTAATATTGCCCTAAAATAATATCAAATAATTGGATGCCCATCAAGCTTAGAACATTGAAAACTGTTTTCCTTTGGGAATCCCACAACTTTTAAATCTAATAGCATCACCGGTATCAGCATGCCCTACACAACCGATTACCTGATCTTCCAGCTAATCCGATTACCACCTGAACCAATAGATTTCCATCACTTCTGCTTGCAAACTCCGAGTGAGGAAACGTGTTGTCCACCATGTGCGACACAATCATAATTCAATGAAGGGACGTGCACAGGGGGTCATCAAAACGATCGTTAGTCGATGCGGAAATGTTCTCTATGGACCCTCTCATTACATGGGAATTATGATTCAAGTAGGACTAGCCAACAAAACGGAATGGATCGATTTAACGCTGGACAGAAAGATAAATGGCTTTCTGGCAATGCATGATGAGAAGTGCTAACAATACAAGGGGAAAAATAGTAAAGCATTATCTACCGCATGACATACCCCAACCTGTTGATGAAGTCACAGAGATCAAATGGTCGAAAAGTGAGGAATCAATAACAAAAAAACACCCCTCGGAACCAAAACCACCAGACTATTGATAGAATGACCTACAATGACCTAGAATGACGCCCAGGATGATGCCTGGATGACCACCACATCGACCTGTCCATCGGAAAAATTCATCGTTCAAAATGAATATTGATGTTTCAACCGAACGTAATCAATTTTTCAATATTGAACGTGTATTAACAGTGATAGCCCAGCAGTATTGGTTAACAATTGCGGTCCACATGGGTCACAACAATTGACAATCACCGAGGATAAAAATAAAGGAATAGCGGTAATACAATAACTCGACCAGTGGTATACAGATAAAAGTGAAATAAAAATGGTAAAATATGAGGCGAGCGATGCACATGATAACCGCATTGAAAGCCAGGAATTCAAAATCCTTGTAGATTACTCTGACGATGAGTGATTATCAGCTCAACGGGGTCGTCGGGTGTGGAAAAAAAAAACGTCGATGGAAGTGACACGCTGATAGGATCGCTTAATGTGTACAGGATACGCGGGGATAAAATAGAAAATCATCAGCGATGATGGTGGTGAACGATCAAATATCAAAAGCCAGTGCTTCGAAAAACACAACTGATACGTTAGCAGTATGATAACAGTCATAACGTGGTAACATCCACAAAAACGTGTACCAAGTGAAAAGAGTGACAAGCAACAATGACCCGCATAGTGTAGAGCCCGTATACCACGAATACGCAATGTTGACCAAGCGTTCCTGTGGTGGAGATGACCGAGTTTGCTTGTGTGATGCGTTCGTATCCCTGTGACTCTGGTGTACAGCCTTGCTAAATCCAGTGGAGTTGGTAGAGTGGGTTGCCTGGCAACGGGCTTTCCTAGAATCCTAACGCTCAACATGTAACATCGTCTGTGGGAGCAGTGGGGACAATACGCGAGATGAATTAAATGCGATGATTGATGGCACTTGGCTGCCAAATGACCGACAAAAACTTATGAATTCCCATGTCCATCTAGTTCTTCCGAGTGAATACCTGTAGCTACCTATTGTTTGAGCTGTTCCACTGATAAGGTAGATGATGGTCTCCGTGAGTAATTGTGGGAGAGGCTGGGATTAAAGTCAGATTGAACTTTCCTTGAATTTCTCGATGCTATGAAGGTAAATGGCAAATGGTAAATGTTTTGCCCAGCATGCATTTTTTGCCGTCGGTTTTGGTTCTTCGGTGTGACGTGATGATTCAATGAGCTGAGGATCTTGTTGAAGCGTTTCACGTACATCACCAACATCCAGTTGTGAAATTAATAAGGGCCGAAATTTTGCTGGCTAAATTGATGGTCCCCATGCACGACACGTAGCCTGCGTGATCACTTTGACACGACAACGCGTAGATTCCTCAGATCTTGTTTTGCATACACGATCAATGTGTAAATTTCAGGAAGTTGGGACACATGAACGTCTGCACAGGAAGAGAGTCATTTTGCGGCATTATGGACGACGAAATGGATTATGGGAATGATGAGATGTGATGTACCTTTTGAAAAGCCATTTTGAAACATTGAGCGATTTAGGCGAATGAAATTTTACGAATGGCCTCTCATTGCAATATAATTCGACGAGAATTATAATGGCGTGGAATAATACCCGTCCGTATTCCGTAAAGCCTTTGTAACGCTTAGCTCGCTCGGTGGGTTCCTCTCAAAATTTATGGGAGTGGCGTACACCTAATCAGGTAGCGCGGTCGCGTGTCTTCGCATGAATAATGTTATTGACATAACAGTTTCCAATTCTCGTATAACCCGAGGTACACTATACTCCATACGAAGGCAGTCATACTGGGGGGATTAGAGGATTATCGCCGTTATAGGAGGGTTAGTCCTCCTATATTCAACGCCCCACTACACCCATTGCTCGGTTACCACCGAGCCCTTTCCCATCTACTATTTCCAACAAATGCATACGATTGTCCCTGTTGAGTTACTGACGTGTTGGTTCGGTAGGGCAGACTGCAGTACAGCGGACGAGCCTGGTCAAGTGCCTCACGTCGGTGGACTTTCTAGATTTGGAAAGGTGAGTCTCATTTCTTCATTAAATCGTCAATTAAATCACTTCATTTTTATTCGATATTTGCCTCGTAGACTATTTTTAAAAATGTTCCCTTTGCACATGACGTAATGGACTCATCTAGAATCTCTACGGGAGACAGTGGCTTTTTCGCAAAGTCGATTTTATTTTATGTTTGATAAGGCAGCATACGAAAATAAAAGTTTTTTCTCAATGCAGAATTTTCAACGGGTACAGTGCTAATTATCATTAGCTTCAACGGTAAAATATCTCCCATAATTGTTGTGATTAATTACTTCATTTAATGTATAATTGACTGAATACATTAACTAGTCCAATTGAATTCAATCCTTCCTGGTACATAATTTGATTCAGTATCAAGTCAATGTGAATAAATATTCATGAGTCGTATGTATGAAAATCAAGGTCCATTCGGCCGAGAATCGGTGGGACGAGTTCGGTAGCAATTGATAAAATACAATGTATAGATTTGAATCAAAATATCGTTTAGAACAACACTGGAAATCCAGTGAAACTCCAAACAAGCCCGAATGTGCGTACGTGTTACCCGGGTAATTAATGAGTGGCTGCTATCTCCGTAATGATATCTACGTGGTTAAACTGTGGGGGAGGGATCTTCTAGTTGCGAGGGGGAATTGAATGGGACTATTTTGCGTGGTAACACCTAGGAATCGAATAAACGGTCGAATAATATGTGCACCCAATGTGTCACACGATTGCAAGAACAAATCCTTCCTCAACATTATTATAAATTTAAAGGGGAAATTTACCTGAAATTTCCCCACATGTTTTGAATATTCAATGAAATTTTAATTTTCTGGTGCCTACAACAATGAAAATGACAAAATTATTCCCTAGACTTCTCATTACGTTGGAAGATCAAATAAATGACATTTTCACTTCTCAATTCTGATAATGGATGCAATGATATGATTTAAAATTGAATTTAGAACGGCTACATCGAGAATTCAAAAAATAGCCGGCAGTGTGAGTAAAAAATAGAGTATGTAAAGAAAAATGTTGAACTACTTGTGCGGTATTTAAACGATGCATGCGATGTTCTTGTGTGGAAGTTCTGGAGTGCTGTCGCCGGTGTATACTGTACTGTGCACATGTTTCATTTAAGTATCGCACAAGTACTGCATTCATCCAGGCTCCTGCTGTCTTCAAATGACTATATACCTGGCGTTTAAATACCTCACAATCATGGACAGAGATATACGAGCGAATATACAACCGGCGAACTACCATCTAGGCCTTGACTACTTGAGTGTCGTTTCGTGTTGAACTGTTGCACATCAATGGTCAACACAAGCTTGTAGCACACTACTTGAAGAGGTACTATGTGGCTTAGTCGAGGTGGGAAAGCACCCGGGTGACATGGAGATGAAGGTTTATTCTCAAAGAGCATGTGTAAGAAATTCTGGTCTATTTGCAAATGGCCAGCGGTCGTGAATTACTTTTTCCTCGAATCACAATTTTCGTCCCCTTTTTACCCCTTTCCTCTTTAAATAATTCGCCGCTCCATCCTCTATAAACATTCCTCATGGTTAATTCAAACTTTTCGTACATATCCTCTTCATGTACTCCATATAGTTCGTGTTGCCTCAAAAGTAGTTGAATATCAATTTTTTGACCACTTAGACTTCACAAAATATCCCAAGACAACACATTTTCTATTATTTTCTTGTAAGATAATTGAATATTGAAATTCAACTCGGCTGATGACCACACCGAACTTGAATCGTTCATGGGATAAATAAAAGGAAACACTTGAAAATTAAAAAGATAATCATCAGTGCGCTATAAACTGACGGAAAAAATTGTGGTCATACGTCTAAAACTCGGGAGATAGACGAGAGCAATGTTTCACTTCTTATGCACAGTTCCTTCCGGCGGATCTGGCCTGGCCACATAAAAAACTTAAACTGATTTGTTAAACTTCTCCAGCACAGCGTATAGATCCTGACATGGGCATGAGCCCAGTGTCCGGAAGCAACACTTTTGTCCTTCAGTGGCCACCTGGAGGGAAAAAAAAAAACGATAATTCTTAATTTATCCTCCAGGAACTCCCCAATTCTATCAACTTTGGATTAAAGTAGTATGCAAATTATCCAACTTCATGCAATCCAATTATTTTTCTTTCGGCAGAGTGTAGTCTGGGAGATGAACAGACTGGGCATGATGGTGGATCTCTCTCACGTATCTGTACCAACTATGCTGGATGCCATGGCGGTCTCCAAAGCCCCTGTCATTTTCAGTCACAGCAGTGCACATGCACTTTGCAATTCGTCGAGGAATGTGCCCGATCATGCACTTCGATTGCTGGTAAATATGCTTTTCATCCCTTCTTTTGCCATTCCCATTGAGACGAGTGGTAGAGAGAATTTCTAAAGGAACTGCCAGAGGAATCAACTTTTCCAATATTTCACAGGCACAATCAGGAGGTATAGTGATGGTATCCTTCTACCCACATTTTGTTAGCTGCGGAGAGAGGTCAACTCTGGATGATGTTGTCGGTAAGTTCCTTTTTGTCTCATTCATCAACTTCCTCGGGGCTCAAATTATACTCTGCACTTCATTCTCTCGGAATTTTTCAGCTTCAATTTCCACAACACTCCTCTTTATTAACACCACTTGTGCCGATTATACCGATAATTTTCGTCATTATTTGTTCAATTATTATTAAATCAATAATCATATTTGATATGAAAATATAATAATTATTATCTTCAATCCAAATTAATTATCTTGTCATTCAACAGAAATAAATGGCGATCTGTTTATACGGTTTCATGTAATTGCAAACAATTTCAATATAAAGTCCTGCGGAACATCAAACAGAGAAATCTTCCCCCTTTCAATATCGCAGTATCTTCATTGAAACAAATTAATAGACTTGAATAATCCGCGCATACAAAGAATTGTTGATTCGAGCGAATGGAAGTTCATTCATCTGAAGAATTTCCACAATGTTTTATTTTCCACTCGAGCAGTAACTCCTTTTTTTTTAATTTCTGCATAATCCCCAGATGTCTGCAAAACTATCTAAAACTCTGCGTCCATTTAATTATTCATTTATTGCACTTAACGTATAATTCACACACCAATGCTTCTGTACGCTTGAGATATATTCTGTACATATATATATCTATCTCTACAGAGGATAGCATCGATGATGGAGCACCAACGGTATTTCTGTAGCGAACCTCGACTTGAATAAAGTTGAAAGTTTACAGCTATGACCGAAAAGCAAAGTTTATTGCTCCAACTCAAAGTGCATTTAAGTGAAGCAGATGTGGTTGTATCGAGTCTGAACTAATTCTGGAATAGTTTTCAATCAAATTCCTCTGACAGGTGTAGGCGCCAAAGGCAACATTTCCTTTTCAGTTTTATTTGGAGTGAAAATTTTATTCTATGCAATATTCGTTATGCTCCCGCGAGCTTGAATGGTCCGATGGAATTGCAAATGGGCAAGCGTTGAAATAGATAGATTGACTTCCACCCTTCACCCCCTCAAAGTACAACATACCAGCTTTGTGAAAGGGCTATTTGCGAGGATTGGTCACATTGTAATTAGAGTAAGCTTCATCTGATTCAATCGTCTCGGTCGTACAGTCTGTCGATGATAAACTTTGGCATTGACAGCGGAAAGTTTCATCAGAAGGATTCGGGGTTGAGTGAACGTTGTCAATGCCGATGTTATCATTCTTCCAGCAGTGCAAACAAATCTTGGTGGATATCCTCAGAATTAAGGTAGCAAGTCTTTAGGATTTGCCAGTGAAGATTCCGTTGAGATTAATGGTGAGTTCCTCGGGAAATTAACAATCTTGCATTTACAGAACGCGTTAATTAATTATTGATGTAGTTTCGAGCGAAATGTATCGCATGAGTAGAGATGAGATTTCCTTGAAGCTCTGGTTTTGAGGAGTAAGTGGTGTGTGAATGTCGTTTCGAGTTTTAGTGGTGGAATTGAAGGAATTGGCTCAACTCTTTCTTGAGAAGCTTCAACAGTGGCGAGGCCCGAAGTTCTCTGGATACAGTTGTTGAAGAAATACTGGTTGAATACAAAAGGTGGTATTGATAAACTTCTTGAGCAATGGAATTAGTCACACTCTGAGAGGAGTGTGGTGTTAGTTCACCAGAGCTTCTCAATTCATCATTTGAATGCAAAGACGCTTGGCAGAGGCGTCTTACAGCTTTGATATTTACTCTCTCAGTCGTTGGCATATGGGTCTCTTTCGAAACTTGGGAATTCAGGAGCTGTAGACGATTTAGTCTGTCGGGGAATGAATGCATATGGCCGTTTATACCACTCGTTTCAACAATTGCGGTGATGCATGACGTGGTTTTATTAGAGGATAAAAATTGTTAGACGCGCAAGTTGACATGAAAAATAGTAGAGACGTTCTTTTCGCTTTTCCAAGATAATGGAAAATCGGCAAGTAATCGATTGGTTCATACCTCGTTTTAGAGTAGTTCACGAAGAGAATTTTTATATCCAAGTTCATATATCGAATTTCATTTATAAAGGTTACTGCTTACTGACATTTTATTTACTTCCGTATTCTTATTTATTTCAAGAGTTTAATGAAGCTAGAAATACCGTAATGATCAACACCGTAATTATCTCGCCGATATCCTCTGACCTTTCTCAAATTAAACGGCATAAGAAACACGTAGTTCACCTCGCCACTGACAACTCCGAGAGAATTGATGGTTCTGACAATTAATCTGACAATTAATCCGAATTTCAAAGTAATACTCGATTCTCGCAATAGTTGAAAAAAAAACATCGAGTTATCATTTTCCACAATTGCTCAATACTTCACGCACAGCTGTTTCTTAAAGTGGCAAAAAAATGCACGAGTGTACCTGAAGTTTCCGTCGAATTTGTTCAACGTAAACCTTGTTTGACACTCTATTGTTCACGAAATAAAAGACTCAGCAGGAGTAATAAATCACGAAAGAAATTCAATTTCCATCTTTATATTGCAGCGCATATTAATCACGTACGAAAAGTGGCAGGGACAAACCACGTGGGACTTGGTGCTGGATACGATGGAATTAATCTGTAAGTACACTGATAATTGTCCGATATTATTGTACAATATTCTCCCGACGAATCGATAGTAAGAGAAAATCACTTGGCAGCTCAACCCACCAAAGATATCCCGGTAAGGTGGATAAATAATTGAATGAGTCTGGTCACGTGAAAGCCATTTAATCCGAGATTACAGCAAACTCGACGAAATGGCCGTAAACGACTCTGAAATTTCATACGAGATACATCATGTAATGAAATGTAATTGGCCATCGTGCCATTAGTAGTCCCCGGTTCTTTCGGGGAAACAGTACATTTGCTATGTAAATTGAGTTTTCTATTCAGGAATTTAAACACCTTGAACACTCCAGCCGACGGAATGGGATTTCACATCGTGAGAGATTGCGGGTGAGGACATTTTATCACGTCCCGACGGTATTGATTTTTTTTCCGTGGTTTTGAGCCACTGATTTCGCAGGTTGTGGATTATGAGGGATCACAAACCCACCAGACTGAAGTGAAAAAAAAAACCTCAGGGTTCATAAACGTTCAATTCCCTCTTCTCTTCCACATGAGATGAACGAAAAAATTTCGTAATGTGGAATTTTTTAAATTTCCCGAAAGTACAGAAAAATTGAGAGAATATGAATTCTTCGTCACTCTTTTATTCGCCATATTTCACGCACGTCTTGTTCTTTCTGTGATAAAACACAGGCGAATTACAATAAGTGAAGCATAAAATGCGCCGAATCAAAGAGAATATTCTTATGATCTCCGGGGAAATAGGGGAATAGTAAAGACATAATCGTGGAAGAAAATACTTTTGCATATAGATTAAGGTTGTAAACACGTGTACAGTGAAATCATCTAGTCAGACCAAAAATTCACCGCTTCTTCCGCATGGCTTGAAGACAAAAAAATCATAACGCAAATTTTATAAATTTCCATAGTACAGGCAAAATTGAGGAAGAAAAGAGAAATGAATTCCTCGCCTCTCCTTTATTCGTCGTATTCCGCGGTTTTTCTTTTTATTATAAAACAGGGGAGAGTTGCAATAAGTAAAGCATAAAATTCACCGAATCAAAGAGAGAGTTTTCTTGTCATGCCAGCGAGAAATAGAAAGACGATAATGACATAACAGTTGAATAAAAAGCATTTGAGTATAGATTAAAGTCACAAACATGCGAGGGAGAATTATCCCGTCTGACTGAAATTAATCTGTTCTCATTGTCCGATTGAATTAAGTAAAATTAAGAGAAAGAAAAAAGAACGAATGAATAGGGAATAAATTCCGGTCGCTGCTCAATTCTCAATGCTTCTCTCAATGATTCTTCCCTTTCTCGATGAAACAAGAGGAAATTCCAATGAGTAAAACTCGAGTACCTCAAATCAAAGAGAGAATTTTCCTGTCGTCTGTACACTATTCCCATCTTTTATTTCAGAACACCTGCAGGTCTTGAAGATGTAAGTAAATATCCAGAACTGTTTGCTGAACTCTTGGCACAAGGATGGTCGGAAGGAGACATTCAGAAACTCGCTGGTCTTAATCTAATTAGAGTATTCAAATCAGTTGAACAGGTCAGTCTCAGTTTATGTGATTTATATACTAAAGTATGTAGTCCTTCGTCAGCGATAACAACATTTCGAGAATATTTTCTATTCATTTCTATTCATTTCATTCCATTTCATAATTCCGATGTCGAAGCGCGACAGATAGATGAAACTGTGTAATACTTTAATGTAAATTGAATATATCATGAGCAATTCACAAAAAAAAAATTGACTAGAATGAAAGATGATTCATTCATTAGAATTTATGGGATAAACCGTGTGTTTGAACACGTAATACGATGGAACCCCGCAAAGATGAAGATTTAAAATTTAAAAAACGTGTTCATTATGGAGAAACTGTTCATGAAATTCTTCACGCCTCATGTATATTCTCTTTCGCATTGCAATTATAATATTATTTCGTAAGAGGACACCCTACCGGCCAGTAGTTTTAAAAAAAATCTATTCATTATAGTGGAATGTATTTGAAAAATATACCGAACAGCAATTTGAGAAATTTCAACATTCTTGATATTTATGACTGTCACGAGATGGATAATTAATCGAGCAATGAACATAGTATTCTGGGAATTGATTACAGATAAGAGATCGAATGGCAGCAGATGGCATGGAGCCACTGGAGGAAGATATCCCTAACGAGGACATCCTCGGAAGAGACTACTGCCGTTATAATCTTAAGCATCATCTCGCCATTACACCTTGAAGGACACTCCAACATGGTGCATAATTGTGAATTCTCATTCGATATTTTTTACAAACGTCATTAGTAAATTTTCTCAATTTAATTACGTTGTGAATGTTTGTAATCGATTGAATAATACGGAAATGAATTTCGGGAAAGGTTCTGTGAAGAGTGATAATGATTCTGGTGGGAATTGAAGTGACAGCAGTGCGAAATTACGAATGATACAGTGAAAAAATGAGATTATCAATCCTCAAGAAAACATATAAATATGGACCATTGTAATGTTCTATTAATGACCAAAGAAATTTATATGAAAAATCTCGGTGGTACCTGCAATTCAATTGAGTTCCTTTTAGTGTAAGCAATACGTGTGCGTCTAAGGAGTACCTGAGAAGAATATAATAGCGAACGCGGGAGGAAACATTATGGGAAAAACAACTGAGGGAAACTGCCAATGGGTCATACCATGGTACGGCCATCCAGAAGCCCATTATTGCACCCTCAATTAGCACTTCACATAAATATTCAAAAGCCGTACCAAACAGTGGGTATTGTCGAAATAGCCGCATTGAACGGGCTCACTCAACGATTCAAAACCAAATTGATAGTTTCATCAAATAGCTCGACACATTCATTATGTGAATAATTCAACTGCTGACTTATATTGAATTTCTAGCACTGAATATTTCGTTCTTTATTACCCACAATATAAGTTGTGATAATTATCCAGAGTAAATTATGCTATAATTTGAAATTCGGGGTAAACCGACTACGGGATATTTCAGAGTTTAATAACCGAAAGCTCCACTCAGAAATTTATAGCAAGAATTTTTTAGATTCACTGAAATACCTCGTATCTTTTGTCGACACATTCTGCACTTTTATGGTGGATCGATGGTGATATTTTTTATTTTTTCACGAATCATTTTTGTCTTCGTATTGGTTTCGACAGGTATGTCGGTGGAGTCACTACATTCCGAAATACCCGGGAGGCCATGGGGTTGAATTCCGTCGAGTGGAAATTTTCGATAATTTTCAATAACGCGTTACTTGAAGCTCTAGCGGAAAATCACCCCTGGGTATCAAAACCACCCCAAATACGTAGGGATACCCACAATCAGGGGACAATGACCGTACGACAGCCGAAAGCGAATCGTGGAACGAAAATTCACTGACCTGTCATGGTCTTCTGTTACAGTTTTGTTATTGGAGGCACGTTAAAATCACGAATAGAGCAAGTGTTTTCCCGAATGAATACTACAAAATTTGTTGTCCATAGTCATATACAAACATATGACTAGACTCAGAACACAGCGCGATAAATGTTACCCAAACACTTGGAACGAACGAAATGCAATAAACCTCGAACGTTAGTCTCAATTGCTGCCAAACCTGTAAGCATTCTCACTTAGTAATTTCGGTGTACGGAAAATATTTTCAATTATTTTGAGAAATAATAATTATATCCCATCCCCGTGGTATCAAAACCACCCAATACATGCAGACACAGCCAAAATTACGGGAGCATCACTGTGCGACGGCCGAGATCAAGTGACGAAACGAAAACACACGCAATCGCGTCTCCTAACTATTTCGTTAACAAAGGGGAATTAAAATCATAAATTTTACAAATATTCCGGTTTTCCAGAGCAGATACTGGGAAATCTATTACTCCATAATCCGACAAAAAATGGCATGACCCGGTTCTGATACCAGTACTTGTGGAAACAACGGAGACTGTTTGCTAACTGAACAGCTAAACTCAGGGAACAACGCGATAACTGTTGTCCAAGTACTAGAACCAAATTGAACAGAATAAACCCTCGAATATTAGTGTCAATCGTGGGAAAAAGGAAAACCGATCCAGTCCGTAATGTATCCGCAAGAAAAATAGACCGGTATATCACGAAAAGAGTGTCGCGTTTCATTTAAAAGCTCCAATATCAAAGCTCCAGTGAAATTCGTTTGAAACCACCTCGATATTTGCGCAAGTCATCAAAATGTCAAGCAACTTCTGTAAATCTTGTAAATTCAATTTTTCCCGTACAAGAGTGACAGAATATTGAAGTGGGGTCACTTCCTTTTGAGTAACTTTACTGCTCACATCAGAGTATTGCAAAGTACGAGAGCACAAAAATTATATGAAATAACGGAAACAGCTGATTTCGCTCTGCTGGAGGTTAAGTGAAAGGGAGAAAATTCAGTAATTTCCTCGAGCTGAGTAAACGATGCCAAGAGAGTCAACTCTCTACATCTAATCGTTCCAGAAACTTCAAATACAGAGAGCGAAGAGGTGGAGCCCGAACTAAACTGTGAAAATGACTAAAGTGCGAGCGTCAAATGAATGCCCTGCAACTGCAACTGTCTGAAGTAAACGATAAATTTCTGTTCGAAAGAAAATATAAAAATAATTGAATATTTCACACGGCACGTACTTAACGTAGAAATCTAATTTCCTTGCTTCAATAAAAAAATAAAATACAACGCGGATGAATACTGTATATTCGTTACGAAGTTTCGCTGGTACTTTGGACCTCTAATTAAACGAATGAAATGCGAATGTCGGGGGTAATCTCTCTATACGCTCATCTATTGTGTTTTTACCCAAGCCGCGGATTACTGTGACATTCCGTAAAAAGATACAAAACCTACGGTTCAGAGGGGAAAAAAACTTTATACGGGTAATTGGTGTCTCCTCGCTGTTTTATTTCACTCATTCGTGATAATTCAAACGTAGTCCAGGGCGAAACGATTTTCTTTTAAAAAAGGCATATAGTAGAAATTCATAGTATGTGAGCGTAATATAGTCTAGTGATTAACCAATTGCTCTAGCTACGCCCTCGGGACACACCACGAAAATCCAACCATCCATCCTTATTTCTTTGTATTTTTATTTTGACAGAATATATTCAGGACAATGCCAATACAATCTCAATATGAAGTTCCACCGAAAGGCGATAGTACAGGAATACCAAACAAACAATACGAAATTTCAATAATTTGAAAAAAAAAAGAACTTTGATCAAATTAAAACTTCATTAGGAACATGGCGCCATAAAATTTAGTAATACGGATCATTTTCATCAATGAGTACTCAACGGAGAGAACAGAAAACGTGTCATGAGTTTTAAAGTGAAAGTTCTTATTTTAGAGAGGTACTTTGTTGCGTTATGAACTAATTATTATTCCTTTCCTTCTTGAGGGCGCCAAGTTCTTCGAGCATTGTTTGGAGCCCCTCGGGAACACGTCCAGCGTCGAGTTCTTGTCCCCACGATCGATACTGGAAAATTAATATTTCACAAATTTACATAATTGATTGGATTCATAGCATGAGAGGAGAATAACCAATGTAATTAACATGAGAAAATTTTGCTCAACTATTGATTCAGGCTTATTTGATCCTGACAGTAATGGCAACAGAGGTTTATTTTCCATGGAACCTTCACGAGAAATAAAAAGAACACCCTATGAACAAATACCAATAAAGAAGGGACAAAAAAACTATTGGTGTTGGGATTCGTTTGTGGCGTGGGTTCACAAGACATACGTAACAAAAAAACAAAGAAATTGTCCATTGCCACTGCCAATACACAATGTGTGCGGACCAAAGTACATCTCTATCAACAGGATTTTCGTTTGCACTGTACAGTAACCGAATTCATCAAGAGTCAGGAGGTGGAAAGCGAAGTGCAAATATGAATCTGTTTGACGAGGAATGAAACGTAACGAGAGAGTTTATGGGAAAATCCATAACTCGAAGGACAATCCTTCGCTGATGAATTACCGAGTTTGCCGTGCTTTTACTCCACCGGGTTTGTATATTCGTGACAGACGAAAAAAAAATGTGTAAACAGGGAGTAGCTGGGGAATACTTAAAAAAAAATTCTATTACCATATCGAGCTCTTTACGCAGCGCAAGAACAGCTTTTTCTCTGTCGGCCACCAACTCCTCCAAGTACTGGTACCTGAGTTTCTTACGAGCCCGACACTCCCTCGCACTCTGCCGACTGCGTTCTGTTGAAAAATTTTCATGAAATATATGCTAAACTATTGATTGAAAAGATTAGACCTCAATACATTTTTTGCCAATCAGTCTGTGAGGGAATGCTTCACCCTGTCTACAGATTGAATAGCAAAAAATATTGTTCATCACTCGATCAAAAAGAACTTCTCTAACGATTGTGTCCGCATGCCCACAATCGCCAGAAAAGTTTCTAACGACCTAGCACATACTATTGACCTGGCTATTGCATCACATTTTCATACAATACATTTCCAATTTCTTCTATTCTGCCCTTGTATTGCACTTCCGCGTAATTTATCTGGATATCATCATAATCAATCAACTATACAAAATTGATTGCAGTATTGGTCACGATGATTATTTGTACAACAATGCTACAGTTATCGTAAAATATTATTATGAATTTCAAACTTACGCCTTTCCACTGTATCAACCCGCATTCATTCATTTCATCATTCTCTCTTTATCTTCACAGTCAGACTCTTTCATTCTTCTTTCTCATTGTTACTTTCTTCCATTTCTTTCACTCACACGAATTTAATCATTTTTTTCATTTAATAAAACTTCATTTTCATACCCCGGTGGGTTTGAATATACGAACTGTCGGTATTTTATTACAGTTCTTACTATATATCCGAAGTATTCAACGGTAAAAGATAGTGACAGTCGTTTTTCGATATAAAAAATTCTGTAAAGTCTGTCATTTGCTAAATGTAAATCGTCATGAATTGTAAAAAGCCAGTGTACAATTCCACTAGTTCATTACAGACTCGCAAAAGTTTCGACGGATATTAATTTTTTACAATCGCTCTCTGACTCTGAAAGGCCATGAATGTAAAAACTATATCAGGAACAAAAGGTTTCAGTCCGAATTTATCTCATAACTATTCATTATCCCAATGATGTACCGAGGAAGGATAATTAATTCGGGGGCTTTGGGGATTTCTTTCATCAACGAATCTAAACGTACAACTTTATCGCTGTGACCTGTACCAGTAGCCGCCCAATCACCGTACTTCACTGGAATTACTCGAGAGTAAGCTGCGTTAAGCACCATAGGTACTTTGATTGGCGAGAACGCTTGATGCCCGATAGCTTTGTATATATACCTCGATAGATGGGATCGACGCTTAAGCCACCAATAACATCCGAATAGTTCGGGAGGTTAAAAGTGAAACGACCGACTGATTTCACCCCTTGGATTCCAAGTGGTAATACTCGTAACCTTATTCGACTAGCCAAATCTGTACTAAAGTTTTTACATTTTTACGGATACCAATAACCAGAAGAGATTTTTTTCGCAGCAAAGAGAGCATTTGTTGTAAATCATCAGAACAATTCTCTTCCAAGTGCTTTACTTTGGATGAGTTAGAATAAATTTGGAAATTTGAAGGAAAGTACTTTGCGCAATTTCCTACGATAAGAACAAATCAGTTCAGCAGAATATTTTCTACTTGATCCATTCCGCTCTCCACCAATCACAGGTCGTTTGTATTATCCCGGAAATTGCGACCTAGTCCGGATAATTCATAATCGCTCGGTATTTGTTAGTGTATATTTCACAGTCGTGGTTTTTTTTCGTATTTCTCGAATAATGAAAAATTTGAGTGGAAAAATAATCCGACAAATATCGGTCATGTCCCGAAATTAATCGCGCATTTATCTGAAAGCTTATCTCCGTAGAAAATATATTAAAAATTTTATACACAAATTAGTGCGTGATTTTTTATTTATCGAGTGAAAAATCGATATTTTAAATAACCCGAAAGCAACAAATTCCGACGGCATTTCAAGAAATAATTCCTAATCTCAAGAGAAGTCATTTCCGAGTATTAAGATTTTTTTCCTCGCTGCGGTAAAGACGCGAACCGTGATAAAATAATAAAAACTATTTAGAGAGAAGAATCTCTGGAAGATTCGAATGCCCGATGATAAGTTACTAGAAAATTCGATGATATAATCAATATAAAATATAATCGCGATGTTTGAGACTTAACTATGAGAGCGATTGAGATAAACAGTACGACCTCTCAACGGAATAGTTATTACGGATATTCTGGTGGTGTCATTTCCACCAAAGTGCTCCCTCCCAAATAGATGTCGCTGAATTTTTAACCATTCGCAAAGGAATATCTCGTTGTAAATAATTCATTGTAGCCAACGGTCGTATTTGGGTAATATCCACTTTACTGCGTAGTGCACTTACCAAGCTTGGCTCTCATGTCCGCCTTGTCGGCCGCTTTCCTTCCGGGCTTGCGTCCTCGCTTGCCCCCCTCTTTCCGATCACCACGAGAACCCTCCTGAAACATCCCAATCATTAATATCACACAAAGATTTAACAATGACATTGGCTGAAAAAAAGGGCCCAAACGAATGATAAACTTTGACTTTACATTGAATAGATTTTTTACAATCCGAAAGTTTTCACAGGACATCAATCCTTGGCAGGAGAAACCGACTGGCAGAGATAAAATGATCCCTTTATGTTTGATATATTGATCTTCACATTTTCTTTTTTTTCATGGAAATTAAATCTAGCGGACCGCTGAATGCACGGGGAGAAATTTATAATAAAATTTAATCGTCCGGCGGGAATTCGTCGGGAATTCTTCGCGATATGAATGCTCATATGATAATTGATGGCACCAAGGAAACTAAATAAATTGGTTTAGATAAAACGCAGAAATAATTGTTTGAATCACTCTTTTCCGTTGACAACTCGTTTTGCTACAAGTCGTATATCTTCGATCAACGCTGCAATTCCCGTCTATCTGTAAAGCTTTAGTTGTTGGGGCGGATTAAACTGTAATTATGAATTCCCTCTAGGATTTTTTTTCCATCGGCCTGGTACATTCCACTCATTTTATCTCTTCATTCGCCTCTTTTAATCCCATTCTCCCATTCCCCAATTTAACATCTTTCCCAATGATTCTCCTTCCCTCCCGTAATTTCTTCGCCTCCCACGGTTTACCGATTTCCTTCTTGTCGAGCTTCCCTTTTTCCTCCTCGTTATTTTTTATTTCCCCTTGTTACAACCGAGTTCCACCTTGCTTGTCTCGGGTTGTTATCGTGAAAAGCAGCTTTTCACTCTGCATGTCTTTTTTTCCCCACCCCAACTCGACTGGGTTTTCCCTTACTATCTTTCCCTCGTAAATATGCTTATAGAATGTTTGTTATTGTTAGTCAACATGACAGTACACTCTCCGTAAAGGATGCTGGAGACTCGCCCAGACAGTTCGAGTGGATTTTTCCACTGTACAACTTCGTCTTGACCATCAAATAGTCCAGCATTTTGGATAAAAACCTTATCGACTGGGAGAGTTTGCAGACTAGCGCTCGAAACTTTCCATTCAATTCCCGTAGAAGGTTTAATCTCACCAATTAAGTTTGCAAAAGTACTATCGATAAAAGAGGGAAACACTTAAAGCTTTATGCCAACTCTTAATAACGAAATATAGAGGCAATTAAGAATTGAATTAAATTCAAAATGTTTCTCCGCTTCATGACGGCACCATGAATTTAACGCGTTATCTTACCTCGCAGTTATAACTGCGATAAGTTTACTGAACAATTAGCAAGTGGAGGTATTAAAGTACGTAACGAATTAAAAGGTCAAATTAAAAGGATGCAAAGCCCGTGGATTTGAAATGAATTACCTAAAAAAAAATTACAGTGCTTTCGTGATAATTGTGAGACCTCTGTGATCTAACACCTTTGATAAAGAACAGGGATTCTTCATGCAAATCAAGAAGACGTTCCAGGCATTGGAATGAACATTTCGAGATTCTCATTCTATAGTGCCACCATCAGAAACTCCCCAGTTTACAACAGAGCCTTGATATTAAATTCATGAAATTTTCTCGTTCCCCGAATATTTTAACTGTTGGACGGCCAACGACGATTAATTGCTCGGTTGGGTGAAGCTTCCCCGTCGGGTTGAGCTCGGAATTGTTCCTTTCACGTTTTTCAGTAAATTCGTTGCACTTCGTCGAGAATCATTTCATTTAGAACTTCGTAGGCACTCCCGTTATCGATAATTTGGTTTCACGTAGTAGAGGAGATTCGGAATTTCTCAAGTTTATACTGACGGCTGACGCTTGCAGTGATTTTCCAGAAACCGTCAGAATTCGTGGACTGATGTCATTCTCTGTGTTCGCTGGGCAGAGTAGGATAATACAAAATTATTCCATCTGCAGAACGAAATTCAATCAAGATTCCGTCGAAATCGACGCTAGTTTCCCCACTGTACAGGAAGTAACAAGGGAATGTGCCAGTTAATATACGTTCCTTCCTGCAATAAACCCATCTGTCACCCGTTTCCCAATGTTCGACGGAAGTCGTTTGCCTGAATGCATAATCGAACGGATATTTGAGGTGTGAAATACCTTGTTACATTCAATGCCTGGAAAAATTATTGTTTCTAGTGAAAAACTGAACGGCCATTTCCCATTGTGTAAGCTATACACTTTCGAGAATTTTTAATAGAAAATGTGGAGAATTTCCAAGAGAGATTCGTGTACCTTTGGCAATCAAAAATTCAAGTTGTGAATGGAAAGACGGAAGTCGTGAAAAATTACAGGAGCGAAGAAAATCTCTAGAGTTTTATAAAATTCACCCTCGCTGAGAGAAAAATTTAAGTCTGTCCAAAGATATTTCACGTAAGAGACCCGCGTATTGGAGCAATCTAGCTATTGTACATGAAAGAAATTGTAAATTGAAACAAGTTAAGAAATAATTTTTTATGAGTTTTACTTGCAGCAAAAAAATAAAAATCATCTACTTTAGTAAATAAACTTAATAAACTTAATTAATATTCAATTAATCAAATGGACTATATTAACCTGAATCTAATTTCCATTCTATTAATTTCAGAGGAATTATATTGAATTATCAATTAGTTTCCATTCATTTTTTTTTTGGAATTGTGTTTTTTTATCGCCGAACTTCAAATTCATCAGATGCAGGATTAATTATCGACATTACCCTCTCGGTATCGATAACATGTACTTCAGAGGTAGCATCATTCATTGCACAGGTATTTTCTCCGCTCAATATCGCGATCTTTGGTTTTTCATCTTGAGAGTGTCGAATGTCTCGCAATTACGATGAAAATTCAAGCCATCTTAATTAGAAAACTATCTCATGTATAATTACTCCCCTAATTCCCTGTGCCTCAGTAAAACAACCTCAAAGCTTCTCCCAAACCGTCAACAAATTAATTACTCCAAGATATTCCTCAGTTCCTTGGGAAACCAATCGCTCAATTCCCTCTTCTTCAACTAACTCATCGAGATGAAATTTTCTTCGGGCCAAGTAAATGCCATTTTCAGAGTACATCCACTTATCGATCGACCGATTATCTCTGATGGGATTCCCAGTAAGACGCGCAGCATTTACTTTTCTCAGGATAAAGTTCCTAAACTGCTTTCTCCACCGGCCAACCAAAAGTGCAACAAAGAGTTTAGAGACTAGCCTCTCAAAAGGGGATAATTATCGTGCAAATGCTCCCCACGTTGGCTTGGGGTGTCCTAAACTTCAAAGGAGCCGGGGTCCTTAAAAAATTGGACAAAATCTAGTTCACACCCGACGACCAAGTTCCAGGGCCATCCATATTCATAAAATTATAATAAAATTCAGACAAGAAATGCAAAGTTTATGATCAAGCCGAAAAACTCGTCAGAATTTCCACTCAAAAAGAAATCAGTAGCAAAGAGGTAAAGGGTAACACAAGTCGAGTTCTTCTTTCAAGTTTTTGAGGAATACCGTTCAATTGTTATTAAAATATCCGAAACTGTTGACAAATATAAACTTTTTTTAACAGATTAAAATCGCCAGTTTGAAATGAGAAAAAGTTGAGAGACTTCCAAAGGTTTTTTCAAAATTCAAATAAAGTTCCGGGCTGTAATGAAATTACATGAATTTTCAAGTGAAAATAAATAATTCAATTACGGATTCGATGAAAATTGAATTTTCGTAATTGCTCATTGATTTTTGGAACTAATAATATAATCCAACCGAAATTCGCAATTCCCACGGACTTTTGCACATCATATACATCCGCCAAAAAGACTATAACAAATTCGTTGAAAGCGTCATTTAAATTTTATTTTATACATCAAAAATTTCCCCAACTCTCACCAGAAGTATCAGTGAAAATTTTCAACAATCGATACTCCAGATTAAAACCCATTCGATTCCGAAAGATAACGGACTTTATAGTGGAATCAACATTACATGTCAAGGTCATAATTGCGCAGTACCCTCGACTGCACCTATGTACCGCTGATGAAACACGATCTATAATCGACCCGGCATAGCCCCACATCTCTCCGCAATTACGATTACCTCCCCAAACAATGCCAAAAATCTCCCCAAAAATCGCCACTAAAACCTGCAAGACCCCACCACAAAACAACCCACCCCCCGACAAATTCAAAATCGAAGAAGTCAAAGTTAAACCCTAGAGTCACGTACAAGGGTTAGAGCGCAAAAATATAAAACGCAACAAAATCTCACCGATAACTAACAGAAAATGCCATAAAATAGTTGAATATGTGATACCCAAAATCCCCAGATGCACGTAACAAATAGTTTTTACGTGGCCCCAGAGGATCAAAAATAAAATACCATCAATTGAAAAAGACTCACCGGTGCAACGCGTCGTACCAACGGCTTCAACTGCGCAGTTCACGAGCTAAAGGCCTGGTCCAGGGACCGCTTCTTGCCACTAGGTGCCCCCCCTTTCCACCCCGATATTCACCATTTTTTTGCGGTATTTTCCCGTCATACGCCTAGCGCCTCATTGCGGTGAGACAATGATATGCCTCACCTTAATCACCACCCCGACGAATTAGAGCCACAACAACCCCCGGAAATGTGCCTCCATCCACGAAAATCCACCTTCAACTGCTAATTCTCCGAGACAACCGCAAATTTAATTTTTCACGCTGGCTAGTGCATAACCTAGACCCGAGACAACCTCACATTTCGCTGAATGAATAATTCTACCGCAGGAAAATAAATTAGACTCAATTCCCTAGAGCCTAGTGATTGTCGCTTGATCAGCAACTGGTGATCATGCACATCTACTGATTGTGCTTTAGCTGTTATTGCTGACAGCACCACTGACTGCCCTGACAGCTGATCGCCACCGAGCGAAAAATCGAGGGGCTGTCGCCACCGAGCGAAAAACATCTGAAGCTCTCGACAGTGGCGACATTAGGCGCCATCCTGACGGATGAGTACTTCATGTAGGAATTCCCTCTCCCCCCCCATTCGCACATTCCTCTCTCTTTCTCTACCCCCTCCAGGAATGGTTTATCGTATTTATGACCCATGAACCCGAGTTTCGACAAAGAAATCAACGCCCTTATCACAAGACTCCAAATTCCCGAGGATTCTGAGTCGCAGGACATGACATTTGACAACAAAAGACACTCCAAAACCGATTGACACTGATCTATTCATAATGTTACGTGTTTTCCTATCCGTTTGCATCACGCTATGTAACTCTGGAGTATTAATCGTTATTTTTTTTATAAGCTCACCATTTCGTTGTCGACGATACACGATCGCTCCGTTTCCATCGGCTTTGACACCCCAATGTTCTGAGAACTGTGGAAATCACTGGGGAAACACTAATCACTTTGACAGGCACAGTGCAAACACTTGGTACAATTAACTTGGCAATTCGTACGACAACGTGTGTCTGTTTACAAACACTGCAAGGTCACTCAGCTGGCGGAGAACTTCAGCCACTGACGAGCGCATGTGCATTACGTCATGGGAGGGGATGCGCTGGCGCTAGTGAGGGGGGCGTGGCCCGCCAAAAATTCAACATTTCTATGGACTTTTTGTTCCCTTGTCGAATATCGATTTACCAGCAACGCATCATAATATCATAATATCACAATATAAGCTAGTCAGTTCAATTCGTACTACAATTCTGAATGAACAATGAATTTGAATGTAACAACACATTCGATTTTATCAAATGGAGTGGATGAAGTATAGGCCGGTTGGTACAAAATTTATAATTCTTCGTTGGCAGTTTAACCAATGATTATTTCGGCAGTAATAGTTTCTCTTTAGGCGGAAAATTTGGAAGTATGGAGACCACCCAAGTCCATGGGTTTTTGAAGGATTCCGAGCACAATTGGCTCGTACGAACGTGCATGAATGCTTTCAATGTTTATTTGACGATGATTCATCTGGTCATTCATGACAGCATCTTGCAGTTGCATGTAGAAGATGATCCCCGTGAGTTTTACTTGTATTAGGAAGTGATTTTTAGTATACATCTGGAATTTTGTGGTTTTAGAAATGATTGATAGCATGTGCTATCCAATATTCTTAGCTGGGATGGATGTCATCGTGTACTTAATCTGTGGTTATGATGGACAAGGATAAGCCTTGAAAGATCTTCAAAAAAAATTTTACGTTCTTTGATAAATTATCGTGGAGGGAAAATTGAATTTACGAGTGAGTCTTTTTTGGATGGAATAAAAGGTGCATTGAAAAAAATTGTGCTTTTTCTGTTTAATATTTACTGATTGATCAAATGTAATTAGAAATTGCTTGAATGAATTTCCTTCTTATGAGGAACTTGAATAATCGAAAGAAAATTTCAAGGAACCGATGAATATCTTCAACTCTCAATCTCAATCTCATTCAATTGGAAATATATGATAATCTTGATAAGGTTCCACAACTGATCGGTGTCCTTTTTATTTATTGAACTGGAATCGACATCTGGATGTACCTGGGCTGTGATGATAACAGGCAGGGATAGAAAACACATAAGAAAGTGATAAAAATTGTAAAAAATATTCCATACTTATATTTTAAATTCTCAATGAATCATCATTGACGCGGGAAATTTACAGTAAGTTTATCCTCAAATTCAGTAATTACAATTTTTTAGTTCTCTATTATCAAACGAAACATGAAAAAAGGGCTCGGGTAGATTGTTATTTATATAATTGTACAATTACTGGTTTTCAATTTCTAAAATTCATTCAGAAATATATTCTCGAGAGACTTATCACTTTACATACATGTAAAAATTAAAATACTCTTCATCAAATATCAATACGAAAATTAGGTCTATTCAGTAATAATTTATTCTAAAAACTCATTGTTTTACCTACTAAAACAAATAAACACACTGAACCTAGTAGAAAAAGGAGAAGTCCCTAGCACAGATAAAAATAATGAAAATTGAACATTCGTGGTATGGATGATAAAAAAAATCATAGTTTCGTTCACATGACTAAAAGAACCATGAGACTGAAATTTCAGCGAACACTCGTCGCTGCATTATACACAAATTATCATACAGAGATGTCAATTTCCACCTGTATAACATAGAAATTCGTTTATAAGTACTGTACATTAAATGGGATACACATTACACTTTCGTCAATGCGTGTATGTACACTCTTTTCGACCTGATTGAGAAAATACCAGAAAACTTCTCTATATAACTTAACTGGAATCTGACGCTATAAATTTCATATAATCAGTCACGATGACATAAAAAAATGAAACATCCTACTCTATCCTCCCTTGAATAACTCCTCCCTATTAAAATAAATGGAAGCATCTCTTGCACATTATTGTAACTACCATTGATCGTCCTTGGAAAGTCTCATTTTGTCATCCTTTTTCGGATAAAGTCGATGATAATCGTCAGGAAATGAAAACTCACCGCTGGATTTAGGCAGTTGAAGTTCCTGAAGCTCTTTCAGGGATCGCATCACCATCTGGACATCCTTATCCTGTTCATCGCTGGACTGAACAATGCCGACAATTCCATCGTCCCCCAGAGCCCCAGATTCCTTACGCTTATCGCTCATTGAACGTGGCAAATCATCGTTGATTATCCGACTCAGGTAATTGGTGGCTGCCATCGTCTCCTCAATCTGCCTTTGTTCTTGTTCCTCTTTAGAAAGCATCGGTGGCTGAATCACACTCGATACATCCACTTTAGAATGCATTAAACCTTGATTCTGCTCCAGGGGCTTGTGCTCTTTACGAGATTTCTTGGAATCGTGAGACTTGTGCTTCTCATCCAGCCATCTGTCTCTAATATCTTTGTGATTAATTTTGTAAGGATCACTTTCACGCTTACCCAACAGCTTCTCAATCTTAATGTCAGTACTGTCCTGCAATATTCTCTGTTTCAAGGATACCACTGGCTTGGAGCTTGAATTTTGGTTTAACATTGAGTAACAGATTGAGTCGGATTTTGCTGAGTGTGATGGGTCGGTGATTACACTCACTGCTCCTGGTGACTCTGAATAGGGGGTTATTGATACAACGTCTTTCTTTATTTCGCTGTGGGATTTCGCTAACTTTGGGTAATCATTCACAGGGGTTATTGACAGGGAGCTGCTTGTTAGGTCCAGGGGATTGAATTTGTCGGGATGATTCTTGGGCTTTTGCGCCAGTAGTTGAGAGGTCGGCACCACTGATATCTTGGCGATTGGCTGTGCTGCTGTTGAATTATTCAATTGACTAGATGTTGAAGAGGATTCTTTGTGCTTCTCCTTGTACTTTATCGTCTGTTTCTTCTCAATTATGAGATCTGATGGTTTTGATTGTTGCAGTGGCATTGTCAAGGCGAAACCGAAAGAAAAGTTATCGGTAAATGTTGGTGGAGACTTGGCACGCTCTTGGGTACTAGGTGCCACTGTGCTATTAGCGTTTGTATTTTCCGATGGTACATTGCAGTTTGACACTGCAGTGGAGGGTACATTATTCGGAACTGGTGTGTCCCGTTGTTTTTTCTGTTTTGTCTTGGCACTGTAACAAATTTAATCGGATTGTTTTTTTTTTCTTTCCGTGCGTGTGCTTGGAATTTTTACGACTGTAGGGAGTAACCAGCTAGCCACCAGTGAAGTGTGAGCTTGAAAAAAGTGTAGCGTTATGGTATCTGGAGTTGGATAGAATAAAGAAAATTTATTTACCAAAATAACGTAACAAATCAGTACAAAAAGAAGAATCTATCAGCCGTGATATGAAATAAGAAAAATTGTTGCTCTGAAATTTGTGCAACGAATCACAGTTCTTTGTTTTAGTTATCGCAATTGAGATGGTGGACTTGTGCATTCACATGGTAAAGGTACCAGCGCTTGATTTCTGATGAGCAGAAAATAGGACGATGCAACAGAATAAATAACGGACAGAAACATAAAATGGAATATTGGGTAAATGACTGATGATTTTCTTTCGCTTGTATTAGAAAATAATGAGAAATTAAATAAATTGAGCATTAGTGATCCGCAAATGAAATTAGCGAGCCGAGTGACCAGAGCATTATTATACACTTTCATCCGATTTTATCACCTCCCTAGAACATACAACCAGCAGAAAATAAAAAAAACGACATGCAAGAAAAGGTTTAGAGTGTTTTTCAACATCAGTGAGCTATTGAAAGCAGTGTAGATTATTTTTTTTTATTGAGGAAATCCGAGGGTAAGCGAGGTACTATTTTGTCATTCACGGATTGACTGACGAAAAGGAATAATCAATTATTTCATTAATTGAACCATCGCGTTTTTAAAATAATTTAAAGAAACTCATTTTCAATCAGATTTTTTTTTCTTTTCAATTGTAACGTGACATCGAAGTGAATGCTGAAAAAAAACAACAGATATAGTTTCAATTACCCGAAATTTATCATATCAGATTTAGAACTGAAAATCGCATTACGACAGCTGTTCCCCTTGCATATCCTCTGGCATGCATTAATAAGTGAAAAATAATAAAAATATTAATCGTGCTTTGAGTTGTTTTACTCACTATGGCTCAGGATTTGTATATTTGCATAAAATACTATATTTCATCCAACCCGCTGGCCAAAGGGACAAAATTTTAGTCTTCAAGAATGACGATAAAAATGATTCTACACTCTCCTTCCTCGGTTTTCGAATGGTGTAATACTCCCGCCAGAGAGTCGCGATTTCACAGACTAATTTTCTGCGAACATCAGAATTTCACGTGAGAAATGGAAATTATAGAATTTATGACTGCTAGAGATTTAATTTCAAATACTTACTTCGCTTCTGGAGACCAAGGGTAGCGCTTTGGTGGATACTTCAACTTCTCCAACGTCTTGTCATCAGTCTCGCTGCTGTCGGCATCGGATAACAAAGCAGGAATCCCTCTACATTGGGAGAAACAACTCAGTTATCATCCATGTGATAACAAAATATTTTTTAACAATGGTGAGTCGCGAAAATGAAGCATGATACTGATGACTAAATACCCGGGGCACCTGTTTCTCTATCTCCATGTAGAAATTTAATTTCATGTCATTGCACACAAGAAATAATCGATAAAAGATACAGAAAAAGAAATTTGTTTAATTGAGGAAATTAATTATAATTATTATTCCATGACGATGAGTGATGAGTGTATTGAGAAGACTGCCAGTATTTCAAACAAAGAAAAACATAAAATCGAGAAGACAAATAAACAAATCATCTTGTATGCCACACCTCTGACAGCTGAAAATAAAGTTATCAACAAAATCACTAGAAAGATAGGAAAATCCCTGACAATCCTCTCCCATGAATTGGAAAAGAAACATTAAGAACATCGATAGAGTAACTAATAAGATTTCTGGGAGATATAAAACGAATTTGAAAGATCTGCGTTGGGAGCAGTCTACCCACAGTACCGATAAGCTGTCCAGAGTATATGGTGGCTAGGAAAATATAAGATAACAATAAGTATCACAAAACCCACTTACTCCCAGAATTTTTTTCCCAAATCTACATAAAAACAAATTTTAAAATACGAGTCACTCACTTCTCTTCAACAATCCTCTTGCATTCAGCATTAAACTTTTCTTCAGCCATCGGCATAGTCTCCTTAATTATCCTCTTTAACCTGGAAATATTGGGGGCTACATTAGGGTGAGTATTTTTTATTTTATTCCTGAATAATACGTTATTAAAATAATTTCAACGATCGAGTTATTGGATGGAACATTTTTATCGGACCAAATGAATAAGAGAAAAATATTCGTTTTTCGTTAGCAATTAATTAATTTCGTAGAATTTGAGCTTCCTGATTGAAATTGATGAAATATTCCATGCAAAACCCCAATTGAATGTTTAAAAAAGTTTTTGATTTACCTGTGGATTGGTCCACTAACGCGATCATCAGCGTCCTGACTGCACAGTTTCTTGGCACGATTGATTATCGTCACTTTGCTGACCCCTACAAAATCTGAAATATGACTGTAAGTCTGAGAGCGGGCTGAGGACGAGTCCAATCTCCTCAATTTCTTTTCAAGTTGCAATAAGGTGGAGTTAACATTAGCATCGAAGAACTTGGTTTTTCCCTCCTTGCTGTTGGCCGCTTGTTTCTTCAATTTATTTATTATCTCCTTGATGTCATCTGGGAGTTGATCAAGAAGAGGTAAATCCGCTTTGTCGTTGTCCTCGCCATCTGAAGATGTTCCCACAACTCCACAACGTGACTTATTGGAGTCCACAGTATCACGGCTGGATTCGTCGTCGATTTTTCCATCATTGACAACACTCTCAATGGCATCATCGATGTTAGCTGTCTTTCCCCCCAGCTTCTTCAGGTCAAGAGCTTTTTTCTCATCAAGACCATTGCACATGGGTTTTTTGTCGAATCTTTTCATATCAAACTTCTTGTCTTTCTTGGACAGATCATTCTTCGATTTCTTTCTCTCCTCTTGATTATCGTTTGGCAGTCGATCGATTTCCATATTATCACGTTTGTCGTCAATGGAATTTTTCGATCTGTTGTAATCGATTTCTTGTTCTGAGATGAGCTTTTTCCGCTTCTTGGGGACACCCTCGTGGTTCGATTTTTTCTCGCCATTCTCGTCTATTTTAGATTTCTTGGATGGAGGTTCACTGACAATCTCCTCAGTGTCATCCTCATCGGAGGAACTGAGACTGCGAGTTCCCCTTCTTTTTGATACTGAACTATTACTGTTTTCAATCTCATCATCGCTACTCTCGCTGCTGTCATTCTCGTTGTTGTTGTTGTTGTTGTTGTTGCGATGCAACAACGAATCACGTTGGGCTGCTTTCACACTGAATTCGAGGGGTCCACTGTTGATGTAAAATCCTCCGTAGGCTGTCGTGATATCAGCTGGGACAATCTCATCGTAGGCATCGGTATTGTCGATGAATGAATCGTTCTCGTCGTATCCTGCACCCAGATCCACGTCGTCGTCATACTTCTTCCGGTTTTTACCCACGGTATTTCCTCCGTATTTAGTCTCGAATCGTCTGGCCATCTCCCGGAGCTTCTCATGATCATCATCATCGGCGAATGGGGCCAGCCCATTTGCAGAATTCTCCTCTGTACTCTTGGCCTCTTTATTTCTCTTTTTCTGCAAAGTAGAAGCAAGTGCTGTGAGTCAATAGTGGGAGTAAATGTGTGTATCTAATGGCACGAGCATTTCGTGTGGTACCGCGATATTTCACACTGTCATTTCTATTCTACAATGGAAGACTGACAGGGGGAAGTCGAGGTGGAAATGAGTGGGTGCTAATAAATCTTCTTGACTGTATTTCTGTAGAATCTCAAGTATTATTCAAAACTTGAATCGTGTGCATACATAGATAAATGAACAAGTTAAGAATTCTATGAAGTTTGATCAATTGAGTGATTTTTTCGAAGTAAACATTAAGGCCCGGGTGGACTACCTATAGAACGTCATCTTTTGTTTAAATTTTATCTTTCTAGCCTAAAATACATAAAAATTTGGGATAAGTTTTGAGGTCACGAAAATCACTGGATTTGGCATGAAAAAATAATGAAAAAAAAGAGGAAAAAATCTTGAAGGGCGCTAAAGAGCAATATTTATGAAAAGGGATTTTCCAGGTTTACAAAAAAATAATGAAAAATCTGCAGCATTTGATTGCCTGTAGCTGCATTCAATTCAGTGGAGGGTTTGGTTTGTGTGGTGAATACTTGACATACATGCTACATATTTTTCATTATTTTTTTGTAAACCTGGAAAATCCCTTTTCATAAATATCGCTCTTTAGCGCCCTTCAAAATTTTTTCCTCTTTTTTTTCATTATTTTTTTATGCCAACTCCAGTGATTTTCGTGACCTCAAAACTTATCCCAAATTTTTATGTATTTTAGGTTAAAAAGATAAAATTTAAATAAAAGATGACGCTCGATAGATAGTCCACCCGGCCCTTAAGGTATTATTTAAAAAATCAACGATATGGTATTAATGGCGGAGAACTTCCGTTTCAAGTTTTTAATACGAAATTATTATTTTGATGAATTGAATTAGGTGAAAGTAAATGGTATTAGAATAATTTATAGTTATCAAACGTCAGAAAATATATTTGAAATATTGAGCTAATATTGAATTCTATATCCTAATTTTAATTTGAAAAACGTTCAAATGAAAATTTTCGCCAACAATGAAAAAATTACAAAAATCGATTGCTATGGAATTTCGCAATATAAATAAAAGTTCGATTAATCTTCGGACACAAATGCGCGCCATAAACTCCAGAAGAATTTATCCTCTCACAACAAAATCCGCTATCCCCTTCTCTTCTTGTAATCCTAATGACTTTCTCCAGAGTATGACCAATTGCCAATCAAAGATTTGCCAATTCTCTAAATTACAAATTATTGTTTAGTTGAGTTGGTGGACCTGGCAGAGTACAGCACCACGTTTTCTCGGTTGAATTCACAGTCCAGGAGTTGGCAATAATCAACAGAGGGAAACACTAATTTTTTGTCCGGGAACCTTTACTTTATTGTGTCAACATTATAGGTGGCCTTGTAGATGCTCTCGTTTATATATCCCGATAGTATATTAATAAAATGACGTTATAGGTATCTTGGGTAAGATAAAAGGCAAGATTTCTGATCAGAGTTTATTACAGGTTTTTATCACTGGTATTTTCAAGAACTCTGGAGATCAAGTTATATTTATACAGAGACGTGGAAGATAATGCCCCGAGGGAAAGGAATAAAATTTCTTTTTTATTAGTCATTTGAATCATTGATTGATATCAGTTTTAGCAATCCGAAGCTCTCTCTTTTGCCCCACATATAGACATTCAACCGATATCTTGATTTTTCCGTGTATTTAAAACATGAGGAAATAATCCTTTTGATAGCTTTGCAATAAAAAAAAAGTTCCCGTCAAGGAAAAAATTGATAATTACCAAAACAGTTTATTCCGATTCTGAGAAGGTGATCATTATTGCAAAAATATCATAGAAATATATTTTTAAAACGTACATACGATTTCTTATAATTAATTTTAATAAAAAATGGAAATTAAAAAAATTATGAGATACAATCTATCTACGCGAGGTCTGCTTAAATGACAAAGACAGTATTTTTGAAAGTTACTTCCAGATGATTGAGGAGCGAAAAAATAAACATAACATTCGGAATAAATTCTCAATAAAAATATAGATCTTTTTTTTTCATATAACAGAGAAGATGAGTGGCTGTCCCTCGCTTGGCGTCACCCAACGAAATTCCTCCAACCCCTCCTGCCTAATCGTACACTATATCCTACTCCTTCTCCATTAAATTATCCCTCCAAAAGGCTCAACATCCTAGAGGGTTAATATCCTTCGGTGACTATTCCCTTCCAATGAAAAAAGCACGAGACAGAAAAGTTGGCAAAGAGCACCATTACAATTGGACAGTGCGCTCCACGTATGAAACACAAACAAGGTGTAGGATAAAAATTCCTAGGATAAAAATTCTTTTTATTGTCTCTCACTGATGAAACAGATGCTTGAATGCCTACGAATATCTACCACCGTAATAATTTCCCATCCACGCAGAACTCTTCATTATTATGCTAATGAATTATCCACAGCCAGTGTGAACTAACAATATAAACACTCGTGACAATTAACGAAAAACATCCACAGATCGATCACCTCCTTCTGATCTTCCCATTGCTTTCCACTTCGTGGTATCTCAAAGTAGCCAAAACACGGGGCCATAGGGAGAGAACGAAAAAAAAATTATCGCCGCACTACGATAATTATCACTGAAATCTCCTAACCATAAAAATATCAATTACCCAATAAAAAAAACAGGAGTTAATTGAGTAATTCGGTTCCATACGACTAAAAAAACCACTTCTTGATCTATTTTCATGGAAACGTCGGAATGGATGTGGATGTGTGGAATAACTTACAGGTTCGGTGAATAATATTAAATTTCATGAGTTGTGGTATGAAAATGATAAACTAGGTGTACATGATGGTGTAGTTATTGAGTACGACGCGAGGACGACGCGGGCAACCGGCTGTGGAGATTATAACCCAAATTAATATGAAAAAAAAAAATACAACCATTGTCATACTGACCTCAGCAGACTTAATTAAATCTGTATACGTGAATTCGGAGTATCCATCTTCATTTTTGTCATCGAGTGACAGATCAAAGCGAAACGAGGGCTCGAGACGTTTTCCCTTCTCACCCTTCTCCTTTTTAGTTGCATTAACCGAGGAACTAGAGAACTCGAGGGTCTGTGGTGCGACACGTTTTAATTCCGACATTCTACATAAGCACTATCACACTTATTCCCTTCACATTAAAATATTCATACAATTTGATCATCAAACTCCCCCGGGATCACGGACAAACACTACAATCACAATGGAACAACAACGTGGTCCTTTTTGAACAGCACACCGACATGGACACCATCGGATATTGATAACTTCTTACCCACGGTTTCCTCGCACTCGTTCCCTATCTTTTTCGTACCTTCTCAGCTTCACTGTTTTTAGAGTGCGCTACTGATGCCCCTCAGTTGTTCAGTACATTCTGTACCTCCCCAACGCATTGTCTGTACTTTTTACCCCTACTATTCACTATTCGTTGATTCTAATGGGAAAGTGGGGGAACATCTCCAACCCAACATTCAAGACCAATCTCGTACGCTAGACAGTTTAGCCACTGCAAACCGTCAATACTGTGAATTTGCAGCTACACGAGGAGCAATCGCTCAGATTCAGAAGGAACTAGTATTACTTTCAAAAATTCGAAATATTCTTAATTCCTTTCATCTTCTAATTATAATTTCATTAATCGAGTTATTTCTATTTTGCGATTATAAGCGAATGGTTAACTGGGGATGGGTAATGAATGAAAAATTTGTCACACATGTTTAACATATTTGTAGAAAATTTAATAGAGCTCCAATTATTTGAAGACCCAAATCACAGTAAAAATATTAACTATTAAATGTTTCCTGGATATTTAAATCAGTGATGTTCTCCAAGGTCTTCATATTTTCAACTGAACACACATTCTTTGCTTATATTTATTGCAGTAGATGTTTCCTTCTCGAGTTGGACTGGAAGAAATATATTAATTCTGTTCGTCTAGCGAATTCATCATTTCGAATTGAAAAACTCCAAGGCGCAATCGAGTCTCACAACTGTAATTAAGGATGAATAATAAATAAAATATGATCGATAAAATTTCACGAAATTTATAGGGAATTTGGCAGAGCTCTCAATTTCTTGACGTTCAAATCACTGTAAATAGTATTTCATCTGTTAAAATATCCTAAATAAGAATCTTCGTCGTCCCTCCAGGTTTTTATCGTTTACTATAATACAATTATAAATCTGCAATTTTCAGTCATTCAATTAAAATAAAAATTGCTTTAAAGAATGGAAAATGCATCGTCATGAATTCATACAGTTAGTCGATCAGCAGTTTCCATAAATTCACTTAAATTGAAATCTTTTAAGACATATTTTGTTTTAATTTAACGGCCGAAAATTGCTGAGCTAGTAACTGCATAATTTCGCTGTGCGAGCTACCTTGACGCTCTTTCTTCACCACTGAGAAATTCTCCTTCACAAACAAAGCAAACCCTGAGGGCTGCTTGTTGTGTGGGGTCTGCTGCATTGTTCCTGATCGTGTGACTCGATTCAACAACAGCTCAAAACGACCAAAACAGTGTCCACAGCGTTTCTTCTGCACGTCCAAAGATTTTGAATGTCGTCCAATACTGAGATAAAAGTAATAACCAATTAGATTCAATAAAGATTAAATTATCAATAATTATTTCTAATTTTACCTGTAGCCACATTGCGTGCACCGATAGGTGAACTTTGTTGTAATCGTGTAATCATGACAAACTTTGATCGGTGGCAATTCTGGAAAGACCTTCAGACACTTTCTAGTCCAGGCTTTCCAATGAGCACCATGCCCATCATCAAGCTCATCAATTATCCAGGTAGCAGCATGACACATCTCATGAATCAGGGTATCCCTCAGTCTGTCAGCAGTATCAATGACTTTCGTGGATAAAGCGATCCTCGATGATCTCTTGATCCCAATCACACTCTTTATCCTCTTGTTGTAGCAGAATCCGGCAGTTCCTCGCATACGGACATTCCACTCGATCAGCATATCAGGTGGTAATTTGTTATCAAAAATTTTCTCATTGAAAATTTTATAGAGTACCTTTACCAGTTCAGCTCTCGTCTTCTTGAAATTCGAACGATATTCCACGGCATCTTGATGGCACTCCTCCAGGGGAACTATTCCTGAAAGTGATGCCAGGAAAGATTTTTTTTCTCTACGACGAATAGCAGCACTGGAGGGTAAAAATGTTTTTGCCGGAATTCTCAATTTGTTAACGAGGGGTCGAGTATTCTTAGGCAACTCGAATTTGGGCGGTACCACTTCCTCAGGATCGTACTCACTGGTTCCCGAGCTGTTGTCATTGTCGTCATCACTGAAGACAAGTTTCCTCCTGTTATTTACGTTAATCACAGGAGTACCATCCTCGCTATCAGAGTCACAAATCTCAATGGCTTTTTTTGTATTCAGACTCATTGGAGTCTCTCTCCGAATATTCTTTGACTCTGAAATCCTTGGATTTGTCAGAGCAGTCATGTAAGTTGTGTCCCCGGTGCTCTCCTCAGACTCCGACGAGTAAATAATGAAGCTGTCTCTAGTCTTGTACTTGATGGGCTGTTTCCGTGTGGAATTCAGGCCTGGTTTAATATCCCTGATAAAATTCTGGTAGCCCTCCTCCTTGGAGCTGTGCTCCGACTGCAACAGTTTCTTCGGTTTTCTTATGCACTCCGTCTGCACTCCCCTGTCCTTGAGCACGACCTGCCTCCTGGGTTCTGTAATGGGGACGCCACCAGCGTGCTGCCTCCAAGTTTCTCCATACAATTTATCCAGGATATCTGCACAATCGTCAAAATTTGACTTGGGTGTATCCACAGCTGGAGACACTGCCACTGTTTTCGCCTTGATGGTTATTGGAGTGTACGTCTCAGATTTGCTGCTACTCTTCGGTTTCCTCAAGTAATCATCTATCAGGGTTTGCCGAGGTGTTTCTCGAGGAATATCCGCCAGGGGATTCAGGACTTTGGGTGTGTTGAATTTCTCCCTGAACTTCTGTCGATTATTCGGCGTCTCGTAATTCATCTCCAACCGTTCCAGACTTCTGTGCCCCGAGCTTGTGCTGCTCTGTCTATTACTGGCGGAGATATTACTCATGGAGTCGTCACTCCTGTCATTGGAGGAATTGTTCATCAGCCAACGTGATATGTCTTTTTTCTTCTCCTCTGAAAGTGCATCAGGATCACGGTAATTTGGATTAAGGAATCGTGTGACGTGAGTTTTCGAAGGTTTTGGATCGAGTGAAGCCTCTGAGTCAGTCTCATTGATGAACGCCGGATGAGTTACCTTGGAGTCTGGGTCTTCGTCTGTAACCACAGAGTCAGAATCTGTCTCGTCCACGATGTGATTTTGCTCAGAGACTGCTGGAGAATCGATCCTTTTAGATCTGATGACTTTGATTATATCTTTGACTGTCCTTTTTGATAATGGTGTTGTGCACTGGCTTAATTTGACCGATCCCGGGGTTTCCAATTTCTTGTTACTGTTTAATAATACCTCACTTGGCTTTGCACTCCTCTCTGAAATATTTGTGGCTGTCCTAGATTCTATTCTCGAGTTTACTTGTCCAGTCATCGAAATTAATTTTCTAGCTGGTGTCGTGTAGGAGGAATCAATGACACTCTCTACATCGTTCTCCTCAAATTTCAGTTCAAAATTTGTCTCGTCTGATGAGTAGCGAACACTTCTCTGGCTCCTTGATTTACCCTCTGATCCTGTTGATTGTCCACGAGTTAATGAACCTGTGAATATCTCCGCGTCCTCATCGGACACTTCAATACTATCCTTTAAGGAATTTTCTTTTATTTTTCTTCGTGGTGAAGACTGCCAGCTGAAGGTTTGAGTTTCTGGTATCTCCTCGCCATCACTCGAGTCACTGATTATTATAATTTCATTGTTCTTCGCACGCCCAACATTATTATTCATTTTCATCCTAGATGATTTTGCCTCTTCGTCAGAATTTTCCACACAAAAACTATCCGAGACTCTTAATTTAAAATTTTGGGAATCACTTGGATCAGACGTGTCACTTATGCGTTGGTTCTTTCTGGACTTCACTGGCTTCAGAGGATTGTTGTGAAGACGATTCTTCAGGGATAAGTTATATTCTGGAATGAAATGGGAAATTGAGTAGTTGCAACAATCGGTATGAATGGATGGCAACAAGAGTAACGAATGAGAGGTCACTTACTTCTCATTTCAGCATTTTGTTTGATTCTGAAGTTATCCATTTCTTATAATGTTAGTTTCTCTTTTCCTTCTGTCATTGATTCACACTCCACACGTCAGTGCTGAAAATACGATCGTCTTCTGGAAATAAATCCAACAATTTTTTTTGGTAATTTCAGTTATCAATCTCTTGACGTAAACACCACTCCCCAACGAGAATTACAGTGAAGGAACAATTTATTCTTGCCAAATATCCACGTGATTTCCAGGAAATCCGCATTAGCTGCTAATTATTTCGATTGCATCAAAATGTCTCAATAATCATGAACATTGAGGAATTAATCAAAATTAAATGTAAATAATTCGAATAGCCAAATACGTTTGACAAAAAATGCAGACTGTTCCCCATAACTGAACATTTAGTAAAAATAACTGTTTTTTGGTGTTCAAGGGAATCCCGAAGAGCTCTGATTAATTTACCTTTATAATAACTTGTTCGTTATTTCAGAGTTGCTGGAATATTTGAGAAGATACGGAAACTGTTCCAGCCGAACACGCCACATTTGAAACACAAAAACTGTGTTGACTGTTGAGTTTATTCGAATGGAGGGGAAATAATTGCGGAGAGGGGGTGATCACCCCTACAATTTCCCTAGGATTCTGCCTGAATGAACGGCGAAAAATAACTGAAAAGTAACTAGGAGTTCTTTCAAGTTTTGAGGCGGCATTCGATTGTTTTGTCAATACCTGAGCTGTTTCTTAACCACAGAGGAGTGAATTTCATTAAAAGATGAAAATCGAGGAGGTGAAGAGCTCTGCTAAAACGCAGAGAATATCAGCTCACACTCATATAAAAGGTCTAGGTCTTGATGAGAATGGAGAAGCGATACAATCAGCTGCCGGCCTCGTGGGTCAGGCTCAAGCACGAGAGGTTAGAAAAATTTTAATAATTTTTTAGAAACAATGTCTCTAAAAATCCCTTAATCCTGAAACGTAATTTCCCTTTTGAAAATCAGTTGAATGTATATTCAACTTTTTTGATTTGCTTTGATTTGAATAATGTCGGAAGTATTTTTTCAGGCCGCCGGCATCATCGTGGACCTCATCAGGTCGAAGAAAATGGCAGGTAGAGCAGTTCTTCTGGCAGGTCCACCAGGTACTGGTAAAACCGCTATTGCCCTAGCTATTGCCCAGGAACTAGGAAACAAAGTACCTTTTTGCCCGATGGTGGGATCAGAGGTCTACAGTTCGGAAATAAAAAAGACAGAAGTCCTCATGGAGAATTTCAGACGAGCCATTGGTCTCAGGATAAAGGAGACCAAAGAGGTTTATGAAGGGGAAGTGACGGAATTAACGCCCGTTGAAACTGAAAATCCCATGGGAGGGTACGGTAAAACTGTATCACACGTCATCATCGGGCTCAAGACGGCAAAGGGCACAAAGCAGTTGAAGTTGGATCCCTCGATTTATCAGTCACTTCAGAAGGAGAAGGTTGAGACAGGGGATGTGATTTACATCGAGGCCAACAGTGGAGCTGTCAAGAGGCAGGGAAGGAGTGATAATTATGCTACGGAGTTCGATCTCGAAGCTGAGGAGTATGTGCCACTTCCTAAGGGTGATGTTCATAAGAAAAAGGAGGTCATTCAGGACGTTACTCTTCATGATCTCGATGTGGCCAATGCCAAGCCACAAGGGGGACAGGATATCATGTCGATGATGGGGCAACTGATGAAACCGAAGAAAACTGAAATCACTGGTATATTCAAAACGTTTTTTTTTTAATACTAGAAAGAAAATAAATAACATCTCATTCAATAAAAAATATATATTATTCCAGATAAATTGCGAAAGGAGATTAACAAAGTGGTGAATCAATACATCGATCAGGGAATTGCGGAGTTGGTTCCAGGTGTTCTCTTCGTCGATGAAGTTCACATGTTGGATATCGAAACGTTCACCTACCTCCACCGCTCCCTAGAGAGTGCCATCGCTCCAATCGTTATATTCGCCACAAACAGAGGACATTGTGTCATCAGAGGAACAGAAGACATCGTGGCACCCCATGGCATTCCCCTCGATCTCCTCGATCGGCTACTCATCATCAAAACACTTCCGTACTCAAAATCGGAGATTGAACAGATTGTAAAACTCAGAGCTGTCACAGAAGGCCTTCAACTGGAGGACGAGGCGTATGTAGCCCTTGGGGACCTTGGTACCACCACTACCTTGCGTTATGTCGTTCAATTACTGACACCTGCAGCTCTCACTGCCAAAGTAAATGGCAGAACGACGATCAAGAAAGAGGACGTCGAGGAAGTCGGAGGGCTTTTCCTCGATGCCAAGTCCTCAGCTAAAATATTGACTCAACAGAAAGATAAGTTTATGATGTAAATTATGATATTTCGTTTTATCTCAGGAATAAATAAATTTTTACCATTAACTATTGACTAATCTTTATTTTTCAACTTTAATAATATTCTCAATAAGAATACAAATGCTACCAATAATTATCTTTTTAGTTCAACTTTCCAATTTCCAATCCGCAATTTCATGGATTTTTTTTTCATGTTGGGATTGAGTATTAATTCAAAACAACAAATAGAGATTTCGATGACAATGGAAAAATTATTGCTGATAGATAATTGCTGGCTGAAAAATTAATTTTTTTTTAGTCCAAATGGAAAATAATCAACATGAAAATAGCATTGTGCTCAACACCCTGGATCTCATATGTCAGGGTCAAGATAGTTCAGGCCGTAATCTTTAAAATGTTGTGACATCATGTTGAGATACTGCCGCACGTGAATATAAGTTTCTTGACGGGTTCCTCTCACTCAGTGTGAAATTTTCGTTTGTAGTATTTCGTGGTGTACGGTGTAAATACCATAATGCAGTCAACTTTGAGATTGTCTCGATGTACAAGACTTTTGAGCATTCAGAAAAACTCGAAACAATTGTCAAAGAGTCTTGCCACACCACCTGTGGGTCATCAGAGGTGTATGAAGTATGAAGAGTTATTGCCGGAAAAGGATGAGTTTCAATCTAGACACATTGGCCCTAGGGATTGCGATCAACTGGAAATGTTGAAAGCAATTGGTTTCCAGGTGAATTTAATTGTTTTTTTGCCTTGGAACTAATTTTTTATTCAATCGTTAATTTATAGTCATTAGAAGATCTGACAAAAACTGCAGTTCCTGCTCGAATCAGACGGGATAAGGACTTGGATATCGCAAGTCCTATGAGTAAGTCGAATTGCAAATTGACGTATAATTTATTTCTCCAGTTTTTATTTTATTTTTTAATAATTGAGAATCTAACGATTTCAATTATGACTATATTGAATCCTTCATCAATTTCTCATTGCTTTGAAAGTCGAAGAAAAAAATTGGTCCTCTAAATTAATTGATATTGAATATAAAGAAATATTTTGTAATTGCAATTGCACGCGGAATATAATTCCGATTCAGCTTGTACGTCACCGAATTGGCAATCAATAATATTTTCCCAATAATATTTATCTATGCAATTGAAATGAGATCTCATGACAGCCGTGATGTCTCAATTTTCCTTCAACTCTCAATATCTCCAACTTTCCTTGCGTACGTTGCGTGACAAATGGTCGATAAACCGATAATAATATCTTGGATCAGAGGTCATGCTCGTGTTTCTCAAATCTTAATTCACGTGATATTCAATGAAGCAAAGCATTCCCACTTATTTACCCATCTATCAAAATCCTGATTTATCCACTAACTATATTGAACATCTTATTCACGCGACGCACAATTTTTTAGCTGAATATGCGTTGATGAAGAAAATAACACAGATGTCTACGAAAAATGAAGTTTGGAGAACGTACATCGGAATGGGGTATTACAATTGCTGTGTTCCACCCACAATAATGAGGAATATATTCGAGAATCCTGGATGGTAAATTTCACTAATTTGCAATTTAAATCTTCTGGGAATGGATGACTCATTCATTAGCTTCTAATTTTTTCCAAAAAAAAAACAACTACGTGTGAAATATTTTCCATTTCCTCTCTTAATTTCCAAATTTTATTGCTTTTACAGTCAGTACTCGTAATAATCATTAAATTTCTTATAATTCTTTATAAAAAAATGGAGAAGTAAGGGATTCCATTGATTAATGAATTAGCCCACTTGAATGAAAATCACTAGGACAACCCAATACACCCCGTACCAGCCAGAAATAGCTCAGGGACGTCTTGAGAGTCTCTTGAATTACCAAACAATGATTTGTGACATGACTGGAATGGAAGTTGCCAATGCTTCACTGCTGGACGAGGGTACAGCTGCAGCCGAGGCCCTAGCTCTGGCCCATCGTCACAATAAGCGGAAAAAGCTCTTCGTATCAGATAAAGTTCACCCTCAAACGATCAGTGTAATTGCAACTCGAATTGGCTCACTTGGTCTCACCCTCGAAGTCGGTGACGTCTTCAACGTGGACACGAGCTCCAAAGAAGTCGCTGGAATATTGCTACAGTATCCAGACACAACTGGTGCTATTCACAATTATGGAGAAGTCGTAAATAAAGCGCACGCCGATGGGGTAATTTAACTCCTGATTATCGATATTTTTAATATTTTTTTTTGCAATCCAATGCGATGGATATTGTAAAGTACTTCAATATTCTTCTGCAATCTCCTTTCAGACATTAGTATGCGCAGCAGCGGATCTGCTGTCTCTAGCGATTCTCCAACCCCCAGGTGAATTCGGCGTTGACATTTGCATTGGTACAAGCCAGCGATTTGGTGTACCCCTGGGATACGGTGGTCCCCACGCCGGATTTTTTGCGTGTCGCAAGAATTTCGTTAGGTTGATGCCAGGAAGAATGATCGGTGTAACTAGAGATGCAGACGGCAAAGAAGCGTACAGACTGGCCCTTCAAACACGAGAGCAGCACATCAGAAGGGACAAAGCTACGAGTAACATCTGTACGGCCCAAGCGTTATTAGCAAACATGTCTACAATGTATGCAGTCTACCATGGCCCTGAGGGGATCAGAAAAATCTCCACGAGGGTCCATCACTTGACATCAGTGCTGGCCAGGGGCCTGGAGCTCTCAGGAAATAAAATGAGTAATGAAATTTTCTTTGACACCATTACAGTGACACCGAGGGAGTCCCTCGAGGTGATCAAAAAGAATTGTGAGGCCATGAAAATCAATCTGAGGTACAATGACGATGGCACTGTCGGCATATCCCTGGATGAGACTAGTCTTCCAGAGGATATCGATGACCTCTTCAAAGTATTTAGCTCAAATCAGACTGTTCAAGGAATTCTGGATACACAGGCTCTAGAAAGCGATTTATTGAAATCATCATTTAAACGTAAGACTGCGTACTTGGAACATCCAGTATTCAATATGCATCACTCTGAGACGAGAATCGTGCGTTATATGAAGGCATTGGAGAACAAGGATGTGTCATTGGTGCACAGTATGATACCGCTGGTGAGTCATTTCGATGCCCCAATAATATGAGTACTAGTTTCTATATATTTTTTTCAAACGTTCAGGGTTCCTGCACCATGAAACTCAACTCAACCACTGAGATGATGCCGTGCAGTCTCCCAGGTTTCACTGACATGCATCCATTCGCTCCAGTGGAGCAAGCCCTCGGATACAAAGAGCTCTTCACCCAACTCGAGGCAGATCTTTGTGCCATCACCGGTTACGATGGCATAAGCTTTCAGCCGAACAGCGGAGCCCAAGGGGAATACGCAGGACTGCGTGCAATTCAGTGTTACCACGAGTCTCGTAATGACCGGGATCGAAAGGTCTGTCTCATTCCGATATCAGCCCATGGGACAAATCCGGCTTCAGCGCAAATGGCAGGCATGCAGGTAGAGCCGATTTTTGTCAGGAAGGACGGATCCGTGGATACTGTACACCTTAAGGAGATGATAGACAGATATCGAAAGGATCTATCCTGCCTCATGATAACGTACCCATCCACCAATGGCGTCTTCGAGGAGACAATTTTAGATGTCTGTGATATGGTACATGAGGCTGGGGGTCAGGTATATCTCGATGGGGCCAATATGAACGCTCAGGTGGGCCTTTGCAGACCTGGGGACTACGGTAGTGACGTCTCGCACCTGAATCTTCACAAGACATTCTGCATTCCCCATGGGGGAGGGGGTCCTGGTATGGGGCCCATCGGCGTCAAACGTCACCTGATGCCCTTTCTCCCTCGACACCCAGTCATTGACTCACCTAGAAAGGGATTTCCTGCTGACCTTGGGACAGTCTCGGCAGCCCCATTCGGGTCGTCGGCAATCCTCCCCATCTCCTGGGCGTACATCAAAATGATGGGGCCCAAGGGACTACGCAAGGCCACACAAATTGCCATCCTCAATGCCAATTACATGAGCAAACGACTGGAGAATTATTACAATACTCTTTACAAAGGGGAGACTGGACTCGTTGCTCACGAATTCATTATTGATATCAGGGATTTCAAGAAGACAGCTAATATCGAAGCTGTTGATGTCGCTAAGCGCCTCATGGACTATGGATTTCATGCACCCACTATGAGCTGGCCTGTTGCTGGAACTCTCATGGTCGAACCCACGGAGTCGGAGGATAAAATTGAATTGGACAGATTTTGTGATGCCTTGATAGGTGAGAATTTGTCAGTTGAGTTTTTTAATGCGAAGAATGACATGAGGTATTGATTTGAATGTTTATTTTCTCGTTCCAGCTATTAGAGGGGAAATCCAAGATATTCAAGATGGGAAGATGGATGCCGATATTAATCCATTGAAAATGGCGCCACACACCCAGGAACAGGTAATCAGTTCCAGTTGGAATAGGCCTTACTCTCGAGAAGTCGCTGCATTTCCTCAGGTACCATTCACCGACTTTCCGACTGACGAAAAAACTACTCACAATTTTCTATTCATTCGATGATTATCTATGTACTTACCATAATTTCCAGACATCCACGAAGACACCAAAAATCTGGCCGAGTGTTGGTAGAATTGATGACATCTACGGCGACAAAAATCTATTCTGCACTTGTCCACCGATTCTCCAGCAACAATAGGACTCACCATAAATGTTCTTTTCATATTTATTTTTATAAACCATCATAGATATCGTCATTAAATATATAATTTACCGCCCACTATTTCACTTAATTATCGAAATTTCAACAACATGGTCAAATGCTTTTTATAGTCTTTCTTAGAAAGAAAACATATTTTTTCAAAAATACATTTAAACATTGAACGAAAGAGAAGAGGATCGAGACATTGATTAGAGGCCAGGCATTATGTACGCGATATTATCGAGAATTTCGGATAGGGTGTCAGCCTCTGTTCCATTGGCTTCTGGGACCTGTTGGGTAAGGCACATGAGAGGACCCAGGGCACAGAGGAAGGAGTCTAAAAGTACAGACAAACTACCAGAGACAGCAATTTGGCCATCGTGCTCCTTCAGTCGTTCGCCAATTATTGTTAGACTTTCACCGAGGAGTTTTAAATGGGCAGCTACATCCAGGGGCTGGGTACCAGCAACTTTGTATGCTCCAGGACCACTTGACAGCTCGTGGGATTCTCTGCTGTGTCGAGGGGACGGAGAGAAGTCAGGACTTTTCGCAGAACGTGAGGGTGATGACAGCTGTAGGATTTTTTTGGGACTCGAAGACTTCTGTGGCTTTCCATTCACTACAACGGAATGAAAAATATTTTTAGGACAATGAGGACTCGAATTATGAGTAAAAGAGAATTCAGACTGAGCAATACCTGCTTTGTTGATGAATTTCTTACGAGTGCTACTGGGTGGAGACAGTTTCCACGCAGATAGTTCTTTGAGAGTTGCCTGGGCATTCGGTTTTGAGGCCAAACGTTTTGCTCTTCTTCGCCAGTTGTATTTCTCGAGATTTGGAACAGTTGCCCATAATTCACCGAGACGTTTTGAAATTGCTGCGAAATCCATCGATGAATTTTGCTCTAGTAACTCTTGTCTCACTTCTTTAGCCCAGAGCATGTAAGCTGTGAATCTTGTCTTCTGAAATGTAGAATTCGAAAATATAGTCTTAATGTCCTGAAATGTATTTTTTTTTTTAATTATTCCAACTCACTCCTTTGTCTTTCCTTTGTGCCTTCATCCTCCCGATGATTTTCCCGTTCTTAATAATTAATTTCTTCTTGCTCTTCTCCAGCATGTAGAGACTATTAGCTTGTGAAGATGTCTCCTGCTCAGGAGGTTCCAGTCTTTTGAACCCACCAGTCTCCTTCTCATCGATCATCAATGGATCAACCTCTTCCTCACTCGCTGATTCCATCGAGAATTTATCGTCATCATTGAGATCGTCTGCATCTTCAGAGTCTGAAGATGGACCTTCAGTTGCAGCATCGAAAGGAATTTCTTCTTTCACTGGATTTTGAGGTGACACCTGTGTTCCTGAATTCTTTCTAACACGATTGACAGTTGGAGTAGTGGTTTGTGCTGGAGATTGCTCTCTTTCTCTCTGGCTCTGTTGGGCCTCAAATCGCTCAAGCATCTGCTGGGCATGGAGCTGCTGCTGAGCTTTCTGCTGACGTTTCAATTTACTGTCAGCAAGATCATCCGGGGATTCGAAATCCGTCAGTTTTGAGGACTTTTTTCGAACTCTGCCACTTCGTGACACCCCAGTGACTTCCAGCTCTGCAGGGGGAAATAAATAATTATAGATAACTAATGCTTTGATGATTAATCAATGTCATTAACACTCTCAAATCATTTCCTCATGATCTTTAATGGTAAAATCGAAATCCGTCAGTATTACGGATTAAAATCGATGTATGAACTGAAAACTAGAAAAATCAATTCTTCTCGTTTTACAATTTCGCTACGAACACCGGAAAATAGTGAATGGCGTACACATCACCGAAATGAGTAACTAGGGTAACGTTTCCTTTACGACTTTATGGTCTCAGACATTTTTCATCCAAATTAAAGTTCCCCAACCTGGTGGACAAGTATTACAGTTTAGGGTGGCGCGGATTTTCGGAGGGAGATGGAAAATTCAATTTATCTCATTTCAGATATGTTTATAGGGGGTGCTTATACTATTCACAACACTGTGAACATAACCTAAAAATTACCCCACAACAATGTCACCGAAACGACTTATTCAAGAATACCCTGTTGAAAATATCTACCCAGTAATGATGAATGATAATTAATTAGGCGGATTAATGAGGGATCATCATGATCTTCGTTTTTACCATCTTGTTTCGGACGCTTTGGCGACGCAAACATCTCCATCGGGCGGGACAACGGGGTTTGTGGTTTTTTCCGTTGAGGTGTCTTCTCCGTTTTCGATTTAGAAATGTCACTGTGCAACATGTTGAATTTGTAAGATATCAATCGAATCTTCAGTGCAGAGTTGTAACAATTAACTCAGATAATTGAGACTATCGAACCAACAACACAAATACCTTGACGTAATTATTGTTGCAATGTTTTTTTTTATCCTTCAAAAACGCTGTGCATGTTTGAGTGCTGATAGTCACCCATTGGTGGAGAGATACGAACTTGTGTTATTTCACACTGAACTAAAATTGCAATATATACGAGAGAGATGTATTCCCGCGTTGTGTATTTGGCGGGAGGGAAACGCTCTGATAACAGATAGTCGATAGCAAAGGGCAAAGAAGATAGACCTTGGCAGAGGCCCCGGTCGAGGGGCTAGGGCCACTCTAGGAATTTTAGTACCAACCCCACACGAGAGAGGGTACGACGATCGAGTCGTTGGATAAAATATGTATGTTGGATAACATATGTCTCAATTGGCATGCTCTCCTGACACTTTTTCAAAAATTTTGAATTTTCAAATGTCCGTGAATACTTCCTCGATTTTCATGCTCCACTGATACATTTCCGGAAATTTCGAATTTTTCAAGCCCAGTTAATACCTCCTCGATTTTCATGCTCCCTTGATACTTTTATAAAAATTTGGAGGTTTCAAATTTCAGTCAATACCTCCTCCATTTTCATGCGCCCCTGATAAATTTTTGAAAATTTCGAATTTTCAAATTTCGGTGAATACCTGCTCGATTTTTATGCTCCTCTGATATTTTTTTGAAAATTTGGTATTTTTCAATTTCAGTGAATACCTCCTTAATTGTGATGCTCCCCTGATACTCTTCTAAAAATTTTGAATCTTCAAATTTCCGTGAATAAAAATTGAGGAGGTATTCACTGGAATTGCAAAAAATTCAAATTTTTCAGAAATGTATCAGTGGCGCATGAAAATGGAGGAGATTTTCAGTAAAATATGAAACTTCGAAAATTTTGAAAAAGTATCAGGGGAGCATCAACATTGAGGAGGTATTTACTGGAATTGAAAAATTCGAAATTTTCAAAAATGTATCAGGGGAGCATAAAGATGGAGGAGGTTTCCACTGAAATGTGAACATTCGAAATTTTAGAAAAAGTATCAGAGGAGCATGAAAATCAAGAAGCTATTCCCTGAAATTTGAAAATTCGAAATTTTCAAAAAAATATCAGGTGAGTATGAAAAATGGAGGAGGTTTTCACTGAAATGTGAAAATTCGAAATTGTTGAAAAAATATCAGAGGAATATGAAAATCGAGAAGGTATTCACGGAAATTTAAAAATTCAAAATTTTTGGAAAAGTATTAGGAGAGCATGGATTCGAGGAGGTATTCACTGCAATTGAAAAATTCGAAATTTTCGAAAAAGTATCAGGGGACTATGAAAATCGAGGAGGTATTCACGGAAATTCGAAAATTCGAAATTTTCAAAAAGGTATCAGGAGAGCATCTGGTGCCCTCTCTCTCTTGGGGTGAGGTACTACAATGTCGGTGGGGTCACTCAAACCCCCAGAACTGAGCTTCTACTTTAGGCAAACCCCTCTGATTTTTATTTTATCATTTTTCCCCCGGGTATCTCAAATATTCTTTTTTCCATTAGAGTAAGCCGTGGGATGTTTAGAAAGTCGATTTTTAAAAAAGTCATTTTCCTCCCTCAAAGACTGTATCCAGCCTCGGGGTGGATGCTGAAAAAAAAATTTGATTTTGACCCGATCAAATAAAATGCTCTTTGTTCTGTTAGACAGAGCAGTAACTTATTCTTGGGAGTTTTCCCGGGAAAAGTCGATTAAAAAGTCACTTCCCGTGCCCAAAGGCCACATCGCCTGGGGCTCCAGTGGAAAATTTATGTTTGTATTTTTGCCGGATCTGAGAGTTTTCTTATCATCTACGAGGTGAAAATATATAAAATCAACCGTTACTTGATAGAAAAATTGGATTTTGTAAAAAAAAAAGTTACTTCCTTCCCTAAAGATCCTATATCAGGCCCTTGGGACTTGGACAAATAAAAAATTCCTTCGTCACAGTATTTCCTCTCATCCACGAGTTTCACTTGTAAAAAAATCCGATTCTCACTCGTGGAAAAAGTAATTGATCGAAGAAAATAAAAGTTGGAATATTCCCCATCGATTTTGAATTAAACTCCGAATCCCGCAAAACCATCGGAAGCTCCGTATAAAGGTAAATTGAACTCGCCTCATAAAGTTCGATCGTTAACCCAGCAAATATGATTACATCTGAATTAATTAAAATGTTTTACCGTTGATTAAGAACGACTGTGAACGAGTAATGAAATTCGGTGTGAAGACCCAGTTTCAGCAGTCTATTAGATCCGTCAGTTCCGTAGTCGTTCAGGGAATTAAGTTTCCACCGGGATAAAGCTGTCTCTTTCCCTCGTTATTCAACGGTTTATAATCACTTTCCCACGTCATTTGTATTCGCAGTAACCGGTGTATGCCGTCTAATCCGCGAATTTTCGCTGACTACATCGGCCGACAATCACCACTCGTCAGTTACCGCGAAACAGAATATTATCTGAGTAGTGAAATTTTTAGAAATCATCGATAAGCGCTTTTCAGATGACACCTGAAACACACGCGCGGGCGTTGAATTTCCATACAATTACAGGAACTCCATTACGCGCCTATTTTATGCATTAGCCGTTTAATTTGCTAGATGTTGACCTTTTAAAAACATTCAAATTAACAACTGACCAATATTTTTCGGTTCACACTACTGATATCGTCATTTACTCGACTTACTCGTCATTTGGAATAGATCTTTAGATTTTAATTGACAAGTAGATTTTCGGAGCGCATCGCAGGGGTTGAGCGTTGATTGACTCTCACGGGGCTTATTACGATTTTGTTTCGTTTTCACAATTTTCCTTTTTGCATATAATATGCTTTCTCTATTCACTTTCATAACGAGCCCCAGTGTGTAGGTCAAGTGCTTTTTCTACCCCAACGTGAAAGCGCAATTAAGTTCTTTCCCACGTGCGAGAGCAGGAAATATTTGTATCAATTAGAGCCGGTGTGAAATATCACGGGCGGTATGATGTTTTAAAATACTGAAATTAAAAAAAATACTTCTCAGGAGTAATTACCTGAGCTTCCGTGTTTGTGCGGACTGCACTGCTTTATTTTTTCAAAAATTGTTGCCGTGGAGAACGAAACAATTCAAAATCCAGAAAAATTCAAAATCCAAAAAATATCCGGAATTATTAAGATAAAATGGACAACATCTGACCTCAGAGAACTACATCCGTTAGTTTCGTGTGATAATTATTTAAACATATTCATTGAGAAGAGATAAGCCACATGAGCATGCGCGCGAGGTCCTTACATCGCCGACGAGGAGTACGAGGATATCACCTCGTCGAGACAATTGCCCTCCTCAGTACTCGGTTGTATCCACGACCGGTCAGACTCATTAATCCATAATTAATTTCTTTTTAATAAAAATAATCAATCAAACCGCCAACATTTCCCGTGGAACCACGTGTTGCAGAATAACTTATTATGAAGAAATTATCAGGAAGCAATCGAAAATCCCAATTCGATTAATTTTTTTACTCAAACCCATGATCTCGCAATCATCGATTCACCTTCAAATGTATCGATTGAATCAACGAAATCCACTTGAATAATTGAATTGATAAATCAAGTATTTCATTGATTGTATGACACGGATTTCATGAACCAAAATGAAATATTGCATTTTTTAATTAGCCGCGAAGATTGAGGGGAAAATTAGAAAGACTGTGGGTTAGATAGTCCAGTAGAATCGTCCGGAGATAGATTAGCTAATGAATTCAGCTAATGGTGTTATTGACGAGTGCAGGGTGTAACGAAAGTAAGTGGTGGGGTTGTCTCAGTGAGAAAGCTTTGGCTCTTAACAGACTGTCCACAACCGGGAAGCCGCAGTTGGAGACGCGTTGGCCTTCGACATCGTGGTCATTCTCACCGGGACTATCAGCCGGTCATCGAACCGCTCTGAATCCTCTAAAATCCCCCAATCCAGCCCTCCAAAAAATGTAAAAACAATCCAACGTGAAAGAATTCATTAATTTCCTGTTTTTCATTCGTCAATTATCCCAATTGTCATTATCACCTACACAGTTTACTCTGCCATTAATTTCGCTGTTGTGTGCACAGCCAATCGGTTAATCAATCGGTCAAACCAGCGATCAATTAATTCATCGTGTGTGATTTTCATTGACAATATGAATCGCGTGAGATCACTGGGAATGTTTTTTGTTATTGCACTTTGTTGGGTGGCGGGTGGTGTTGAGGCTGGAAGCTGTCGCGAATCGAGTCTCTGCTGCTCTGGCAAGGATTCCGCGTGTGTCGTGCAAAAAGTTTCGATAAATTCAGCGTCACAGGGACTCACGGATAAGCCATGTTACTGTGATCATGCGTGTCTGAAGTTGGGAGACTGCTGCAGTGATTTCAAAGAGGCTTGTGGGGGTAAGTCGACTTTTTACATGAGTCCGCTGAGAGGAAACTTTAGGTGCTAATCCTCCAACAGCCTTTCCATCTTCTTTCCCATCAATTAATCGCACCGTCACATTTTTTTTATCACTATTTCAAGTTAATTTCCATTGACTATCGATTATATACTGCAAAATTCAATTAGCGCCATCACCAATGAAAGCCAAATAATTAAAGAATAATTATTCCATGGATGTTGTTTTACTCCCTCGAATAATTCAGAGCATGCCTAAATAATGTGAATGAATTGAAAATATCGAAATTAATGTTCGCCGAATGTATCGACTATTTATCGAATATTTCATCTTTAATCCACAAATGATATCACGATAATTAGAATACAAACGTACTGATTATTGTGGCTCTCGGAATTGTGATCGTAACGTCAAAATTATCGGTTGGCATCGATTTCCACTCGTTGAATATGATCAGAACTCTCACCACAATCACCAAGCATCTGTTATTCATAATTCTATGCGGGGGATTATTAATTACCACTAAAATATTTTACATAGTTTGACATTTGTCCTCGATTTGACCATTTCGTAATCAGCCATAGACCACTGACCACTCAAACAACCCTAAATCGTTTGAAATACCTCAGCCAAATGCTAATAAATTAATCCCCATCAATAACCGGCAAACTGCCCGAAGAATCCGCAAAAAGCCTTTCACGATATGGGATAATAACGAGTCTGGCATTTCGCGGGCGATGAAGAGAGTAACATCATCCCCTAAAACATTCTTCGTCCTAGTTTTTCACCCCGGATGCCTCGATGAAGACAGGACATGGCAGAGGGTTCGACAAAAAGACAAAATGGAAGAGAAAAGTATGAAAAAACAAAATGGTGTCAAAACACAAGCGCTCCTACCCCCAGGTTGACATTTAAAAGCTCAACATGGGGTTATGCAGCCACTATACACAAAGCAATACAGTCAAAATGGGGGTGTAAAGGATAGGGGATCAAACGCAAGGGCAAACAATGGCTCTCGTCGAAATTGCGGGAGTCTGCGTTCGTCGGTTTTGAAGAAACCAAGTCTGAAAAAAAAAAGAGAGAGAGCACGGGGAGGCCGGAATAAAGCCACGGCGAGGAGAAATAAAACGGAGAAATGAATAAGACGAGGAAAAAAAGCATTGAAAATGAGGGGAAAAAGAATGCCAAGCATAAAAGGTGCATCGAAACGATTCTTTAGCTGTTTTTGGTTTTTTTTTTTTCGGATGGGAATGAAAAAGGAGGAGATAGTGGCACGGGTTTCTTTGCACGCGAGTCTCGACGTGGGTGTATTATATGTTTCTTATGAGCCTCCGAGGTGCCTTCATTCGGACGCCTAAAAAATATCCTCTTTTTTACGGTTTTAATGCACTCGGGGGGATTTTTTGAGGATTAATCTTTACAGGGAGAATATCACTTTGTTCTGGGGGTTTTGCTGAGTTTTTTGGATGAGTAAGTTGAAATTATCTGGAGAATTAGGAACGCGCAATATTTATACACGACGAAGGTCTACACTGGAATCAACAATTTTTTGGGATAACTCCATTGGAAATTTCATGTAAAGTGGGGAAGTCCTTATTAATTAGCTTTGGAATGGTCATTTGGTCGTCTTTGAAATGCGAATTATAAAGGTCCATTTTCTTGGATTTTCGAGATTTCCAAATTTTTTATAGTGTAATGATTGATTAAATTCGCAAATAATGAATGCCTCAATTTCTAATGAAGTCCAACGACCCCATCGGTCGCCACCCGCGCCTGGGCACGACCGGAAGTGCCGCATCATCCTCTAATTTGCATTGAAATAAGTGTTTATCGGTCCATGACAAACCCATTAGATAAATCATACAAGCGATCTCAACGGGCTTGAAGAATCGAATCACCGGACCATCTCCAAATCCAAGACTTTGTCCACTAATCCCCGGCCCCCGGGAGGTGAACAGAAGGCGGCGCGGGCGAATCGGCAGAAATCAAACAGAGGCACCAAGAGGAAAGAAGCAACAAATCCTGAGGGGGAGCAATGCAGTCATTAAAGAATAAAAATGAAAGAAACGAACGAGAGATAGATAAGGTGTGGCCCTGAGGTTTCGGGTGAAGTTGGACTCCCCGTCGTCTCCGAGATTAGCATAACCGGCCCTACGGGTCCTCAAAAACGTCCCCAGCTCTCTCATCCCAGGTAGGACAATGTTCCCGCAGTTTCTTTTGGCTAACGAGTGACCAGAGATAACATTTTTTTTTTCGCTCAATTCTATTCTCTCTGCTCTTAACTTTTTCTTTATTTTTCTCGCCGTCATCGTAAAGTTTTAGGAGTAGTGGAGAGAAATTCTTTAGAGGAGCTCTTGTGCTGGCAGTAGAAAAAGCCGCGTGAAGTGCCAACGCCATTTTTTTATTCGTATTGGTAGTAATTTTCAGATGAATTTCTAGGGATTATAATTTAATTTTAATTAAAAAATAATTTAATATATTTTAATTAGAAATCAATTGTTTTTAAATTTCCCATTTATTTCGCGAATTCATGAATATCGAGATTTAACTTTGAATAGAATAATAAAAATTTCGTGGATTAAAAATGAATTTATTGAAAATCTCCAGAAGAATTTCTCTGTGAAAAGAAATACTTCAGACAAATTGCAGAGTAGTGAAGTAGGGGAGTAGATGAATGGTTTTTTTTTAAGGAGAAACGGAAAATAGATGAAGAAATCCAAATGGGGAATTTCGTCGGTTTGCTTTGATCTTTATATGGCATTTAAAATGTATGACGTATTCAGGTGTAAAAGGGAAAAATGAATAAATTTGCATTGAGTAGCTAGGGTGAAGACAAAGGGGAAAATTACATTTTTCATGTATGGAATAATGTTTTTTTCACTTCGAAGAGAAATGAGATATTGAGAATATTAATTATGGGAAATTCCTGAATAGTGAGGGCGGTACTTATCCTGGATTGTCTGACAAGTTCTAATAAAAATTGAGAAGGAAATGCGTCTCCTGTAGTTTTGGTAGGTGTAATTGAATTATTTCACGGTAGGTTTATAGTTAATGGGTCGGTTAAATGTGGATTCATGGGAGATTGCGTCCCACGGGGTTCAAACCCACCATTAATTATTGTGTCTTACCTGGAGTACTCCTCTGTAATACCACCGACTCTCTATTCTCTTCTCATGCTTGCTACTGAATTTTCGGAGTGGCGTCTCATTCCATTAACTCTGAGTGACACTCGATTAGCTTCATAATTAATTTGTGGATGACCGTCAGTTGGATTTTCCTCCGTACGGTTTCACCTGCCACAATATCAGTGAGATTGAATATCTTCCCATCAATTATAATTCAATTAACCACCTCAAAGTTTGCACCAATTCTCTTCCCCAAAACAATTACTGCGCCGAGAAGAAAAACCGATAAAAATTACCAAGAGCTAACAACAGAGAACGTAAAAATTACGTTTCGAATTGTAAATAAATAATTGAAGTCGGAGTTGGAATGGAAATGGTACGAACGATAGATTCCCTAAGAATAAGCTAATTACGGCATTTTTCCCCGATAAAATGACGTGACAGTTTCTCACTTTTTTCAGTAACAGTAAATTTAAGAAATCACTTGACTGTCGATTTATCTTCATTCATTCCCATAAAACTGCCGAATTTTATTTGGCTATATTATAATTAGCTTCGGGATGAATTCAGAAATCAGTTCAGTTCAGAAATCAGTTAACACTGTAATTATTTAGATAGATATGATTTTCGCATTATTACACAGCTATGGGCCCTTTTATCTGATATTTTTCGTAATTTTGTGATTATTTTACTCCGGGGGAAGATTAATCATTAATAGTAAGAGGCTAATTACCCAAAATCTGCCGTGTAACGGAACCCCTCGCTCATTACCACCGTTAATAAAGTTTCCCCAGCAGCTAACAGAGGATAACTTTGATACATGAAATTCATCCCCTACTCATCCCATTTCCCATGAACCCTTCATCCCCGCACTGTCCCGAACATCAATAGTGTTTTTCCCCTCACACATACTTATTAATAATCCTCCGGGCTGTACTCCTTTCTCAGTTACTTTAATTTCCCAAGTTGTTGGTAAAAAGTTTCCCCGGGATTTAACCCATAACTCATTGTCCCCTTATTCCACCCCCTTCACCCTTTGTTTTCTCGAGCGTTTGATATTCTTAACTTCCCCAACGCAGATAAATTATATTCCACAGTTACAAAGTGATGGCCTCGCTAATTATTAGTTTTGTAATTAAAGTACATGAAATATTGCCTTGTCAAGAAGTTTTTAATCGAAAACGCGGGACTCGTGATGATAATTTGACACGAATGATAAATCAGAAGGGGAATGCGGCATAATTCAATTGACCATACGACGAAAGTTTTTCTCTTTCAAAAATGATAAATTATACGGAAAATTACATTCAATTGGGAATTCAATTTTTTAGTTATCGCTCGCTATTTCCATCTGGCACTGGATCATCAAGTGCAGCCCATCAAAATAATTCATAAAAGTCGTAAAACCCCAGTGAAATTTATCTAGCGATTCGTCGTGCACTTCTGTCATGCATGGGGCTGTTCCCATAAAGAATTGACGGCATTTAAAATTAACAAAGTGCAGTGGATGTCGCGTAGAAGTGAGAATTACGATGGAGAATCCGCCTGGGTATCAAAAATGTCGCCTGGATGAAAATAAAGTGTCTGAAAGCGTAATGCGCATTTTCCTTCACTCGAGTGCACGTTAAAGTCGTGAAGACATGGCTGGAGTGTGTCGATTATTCTCAAAGTTCCCCGTTTATTACCACTTTGAATTTATTTCCTTTATGTTCCTTTTCATCCCGTGTTTATCGAGGTGATATCTGAATTCTTTCACCTTTTACCCTCCAAACGTAATCAATTGGAGATTATTTTCGGGAATATATCAATCCTTCAAGAACTTCTTTCCCATCGACGACAGGATGTTTATCGATACTTCGTAACTCGTTGTTACTACCGATACCCCGAATTTTTGTGATTCACCAATCCCTTAATGCGGATATTACGACTGGCAGGAAACGTCGGAATGTTTCGGGGAGAGACTTCCGGCGAATAGTGGAATTCGGAGAAGTTGGAAGTGTGGGCAAATCGATCCGAGTTTATATACTGGGGATTGCCACTTTATGACTAGATAGCGATATCCACCCCTCCCCAATATTTTTTCCTCATTCATGAGGCTATTATCGATAATTATTTTAAAATATTGCATTTTCGTTAATTAAATCACTTGTCAACATTAAAACCTTTGACTTGATTAAGTCGCTTCGCCAAACATATGATTCGAGTGGCTCTCAAAAATCGCGATAACTCAATTTACCAACTCCTCGTCCCTCAATGTCTTATTCAGGGTATTTCCGATTATACGCAAAATTTCCACTTTAATAATTGCACAATTACGTGACTAAATAAATCGGAAGGGGGAAGCTGGTTGGTTATTCAAATTGAACGAATAAATATTGAAATATTTCGTGTATTGTCCCTCATTTCCCTCCGCTGGATTGGAGTAATTAAAAAAGGTAATTACCGAAACAATTGTCGGGTATAAATGGAAATTTGGATATCGAATTGTTCGGCTGATTAGATGTTTATTGCGTCAACTCGCTCCAACGGATCTAATGGGAATTATCCCTCAGTCCTATTTAACTTGTTTTGGTGTGAGGCGATATATGTATTTAGGAACCGCAGATAGAGGATTAATTATTCCACCCAGGAGGAATTATATTGTCTCAGTCTATTCGGATTCAAACTTGCGTGATTATTGCCGCGGCATTCCTCTCTGATTCGGATATTAAATCCATTGACTACTATCACGAGGGCTTATCACTCGTTGACAGATCATCTCACGCTTCACGCTCTGAGTGACATCTGATGATAACGATCTCGCGTTTGTCCACCCAATAATCGTCAAATAATCGTCAAATAATCGTCAAATTCCTCATTATAATTCCTGATTGCAATTAAAAATTCAATTTTCACTTTCTTCACCTCGTGATTTTTATCGAAATCTCTTCTCCGTGTAATTCTGATTAATCCTAAACGTATCAGTCCTATCCAATGTACCATCATGAATAGATAAACCAAAATTCAGAGGATTCAATTGTCTGTCAATTTACCCAATTACCCAACTTTACCAGTGCAGCAACGAACCCGGATAATTGAATTATGGTAGGATCCAAGTGCTCTGTCAGCGACTATATCATCGAATTATATTCGGATATTAATCTGAGATGCAGCTCACGATACTAGATAATTTTATATCAGACTTAAGATTTGCTGAATAGCGGGGATCAGGTCCTCTTATCCAGAAATCCACTCTATCCCGTCTCAAGTTTTCTTGAATTTCTTTAAATTTTCTTAAACTTGGCCAGATAAATTCAAGAGAGAACGCAGCCGACTGATTTTTCCCACTGAAACATTCCACTTTGAGCCTTCAATTGAATATTATCCCATAAATGAACCGCCCACTCTATTTCTCAGTGAGAATTCCAGAAAATCCACATATCTCATCATTCCTTTGCTCTTTTCATTTGACAGTGTCATCTCGGCGATGCGTGAAAGACCGGCTTTCACAGGAGAATGTACATCACGTACGCAGCGATGGGACCGATTCTTGGGCCGTACGACGCATCAATTAATCCTGTCATTAGGGCGTACCGTAACCATTTTCATCTGGTTGTACTCTGGGTGAATATGCCGACTAGACGTGCACAGCTGGTTAATTAACGATTCCACAACGTGGCCTTTTTCTCACGCCTTTCGTCCACTTGGGTCATTGACTCCATTTCCTCAACCAGTTACTTCATAATTTCTTTTTTTTTTTAGAAATTCTCCAGACTAGTCTCCTCAGAGTCTAGTCCATTCCAATCGTTGCCTGATAACATCGTGATATTTAAATCCGTGAAAATTAATTTCCCAGCGATACGTCATCCTCGCATACAATCGATTTCAATCGAACTCTCATATACCTTTCCGACATCCAACTATATTGATTACGAATTATGCGCAAGATATGAAAACTTTCTATTGAACTCTCCCCTCGGGGATGCATGGATGCTGCGGCATTGAGACGGGGGTTGAGGAAAATTCTAGGAGTTGAGAGACACCATCGTCTCGGAGAAACTCGTTTAGAATTCACTTCCGCAGAGTTCGGTCTTTGTTAGTTGCACGGAGCGACAAACTGAAGTACCAGGAAATTAACCCTGAGATTGTCAAAATTTTTTTTTTAAACCAGAGGAGAAACGAGATTTTTTAGGAAGCAATGATTTATTTGGAAATAGTAAGCCGAAATTATCATTCCTTCTTTCGCGATTCTCCGACTAAAATGATGAACCCGTAGAAACAACAATTATCCGGAAAGGGGAGAGCTCATTTCCATTCACAGCATCCCGGATCCAAATGAATTTAAATATCCGCCTAGGAAATCATAATGCGTAGTTACGATTATTATTCCACTTGGATTTCATCGGTTTTTGCTGTGGACCGGGTTAAGAAGTAGCCGAGTTCTGTATCCTTGGGGTTGTGAATGTGCAGGGTACATTATACTTGGTAATCTCATCTAAGCTCCGGGGTTAATGCCACTGTTAGCATATTTGAGAAGCCACCTCAGTAATCCCATGGTCTATCCACTTGGTTGCCTCGCCACTTTGCCATATCTTCGGATACGAAGGATCCACCTCATCTCCGAGGACAACCCATTCTCCACCTGTACTGGATCTCAATGGGCCAACCTCTATCCCATGACTCTCTTGTCTCTTCGTCTCTTCGTTTCTTCGTCTCTTCGTCTCTTCGTTTCTTCGTCTCTTCATCTCTTCGTCTCCTCGTTTCCTCGTCTCGTCGTCTCGTCGTCTCCTCGTCTCCACGTCTTCACGTCTCCTCGTGCCCCATTGCAACTCCCTTTACAAATGGACTGCGATAGAATTCGCTAGTCCGAAATGAAGGCAACGTCTATGTGATAATCCCTCGTGGGAATAAGAAATGTTTCAATTTCGTCGAGCCATTGGCAACGGGATAAACTTTAATCATATTGCAATTTTTTTTCGCCCCCCCAAAAAAAATCCAGACGGAGAGTCCGGGATTTTACTCTGCATAATATGCATTTTCTGGAGAATTACCTTATTGTATTCAAAAAGAAATAAGCTTCGTTTGTAATTTTATCATAATAGTGTGAAAGCCGTCGTAATAACTCTTCTCTCGTAAAAATCAGTCGTAACAATGGATGAAGTACGTTTGGTCTACAATGTCCAGAGGTGGATAAAGCCGGGAAATGAGAGGTACAGAGACGTCCCCAGGGTGAGATAAGACTGAGTGCGTGCGCGATGTGGAGGCGTCGAGATAAACCGTCGTCTAGACGTTTATTCCACCGAGTTATTTTCTAGGAGAAGAGATGTGAAAAGTTAGCCTGGAGTTCATCTCCAGTAATGCCAACACACGAGACAAGAATTTCTTTTTAAAAAAAGTGAATTATGAAAAGCATTGAGCAGCGCATTTTCAATTCCAAACGAAATAACAGCAATTCAAATGTTAATTAGTTAAATACACCAAATGGGAAAGTTCACCGGGAGGCAAGGGCGAGGTGAAAAGCATTTCCCTGAATTCCGTATTCTTCCAGTGGGGGGAAAATCGAGGTGAACCACTGAATTAAATCCCTTTGAGATGAGCAAGTGAATGTAGAAGGATTGCCATCCTTTGGATCAAAGTTCAAAAATCAGTGAATGTGTGTGGCGCACCAGCGAAAATTCAGTGAAAATCGAGGTGATGTTTACTGGAGCACCTGACGCCCTGGAAGTTGAGGAATGGCCTGAGGGTCCAGGCTCAGTACTTGGACACATTCAGACTCTCCTGCCCATTTTTAACTCCCTTTGACCCTTTGTTTGCTTTGGAATTTGAGTCACGTACAGATCCTTTGGCTCCAACGCGAAATTCACCTCGCACGAGCCACATTCAACCTCAAATAACCCCACCACATGTTTTACCCCCTCGTTTTATCGTATCTCCGGTTGTTACTGGGAATTTTAACGCGAGATTATGATGAATTAAAGTTTAGGAGTTGAAAGCTAACAATCCAGAATGCCCTCGGTTTTTTTTTATTAATTAATTAAATGGAGAGGAAACAAGGATTTATTTCGTTCTCACTTGAAATATTTATTTATTTAAATTGAATTGGGTGGCATCAGTGCGGCTCGGCACATGGGATTGCGATGAAGTCAGGGGTGCAGGGGGTGATCGGCGACCTGGAGACAGTCAAATCCATTAGTGGTGGAAGACGTACAGCGAAATCCCTGGCACAACTTCCTCAGGGCAATCTCTACGTCTTTAATAGACACTCGAGCCTTTCCCGTTTTCTCAGCCATTTTTCGTGCGTCCTCCAAGGTCTTCTCGATAACATCCTCCAAAAGGGTTGACAATACAGACTGCGCCTCCGTCGATAGGGTGTGTCTGCGTTCTTCGGGTGATGGAGATTGGAAAATGGAAAAATTCAGTGAAATCTTCACTATTTTTTTATCTGGAAAAATCAGTGGTTTTTCGCGGAAAAGCTTATCAAGCGATTTGACCGTAATTGCTTGTTATCAGGAGTTTTTCAATTCCTGATAAAAACATTGAATAGATAAAATGAAATGGAGGATAATCGGGTGGGGTCAAGCGTTTCGATAAAATCCAATCAATTTCTCAATATTTTTTTCTGTGAAATGGTGAAATTTTTCATTTTTTGTTGATTGATTTGACAAAAAAATAATAGATTTCCCTGCACAACCTATATTTCACGCGCGGAATTATTTTTATATTTTTATATTTCTGTTGACTATAGTTACTTTTCGGATTTTTACTCTTGCGAGACGATTTCTTCAAGCCACGGTGATGTCTTCCACCCTCAGATTTCCCCGACATAGCGTCTTGGGATATCTCAATGTCCTGTGCAAATTTGAACTAGCAATTGCATCCGAAACGTTTCAATGCACGCGAAATAGATTGGGTGTCAAAGACCTGCGTGTTACCGTGTTTACCATCAAACATTGGATGGCGAATAAAAAATAAATGAAGCACGAGTGAGGGCAGACAAAATAAGACCAGAAAATCGATTCTCACGTGTGTCAGACCTTTGAACATCTTATTCCACAACAGATAGAGAAAAAATGAAATAACACAGAAATAAGAGTAGAAAAAACACTGAAGATTGTGGAGAACCCCAAAAAATTAATGGAAAAGTGTTATCGTTGTTTGCTGCATTATTTTTTAATGTAAAATCCATGAAGGTTGATGGGATTCTCGGGTAGTTCCGGCACGTTTAGACCTCCAAGGCGTTATCTTTCAAGACTTCCAATACAATTACTCCTTTAATATCCTTCGATGGAGGATATAGAAAGTATAATCGTCCTCACCGCTTACGCCAACATCAGCCTCGATTACCCCCGTCCCTTCATCTATTCTGACATTTTTCATTCTCATTTTTCCTCTCCGGTGGCCCATTGTCCTGCATTCTCCCCCGAGACATTAATCTTCTTCTCACACATTTGTTTTCTTCCCAATCTAATTTTAAAACCGTAGATATCCAATAGATACTCTGATATTTGGTTAATTGAATCGATTCTCTCAGAAAAAATATTTAAAAATCATATTATGATTCGATAACGCATATAATTACTACCGATTTTTTTTACATTGCTTATGTTTTCGGAGATATATATTTCTGGCGAATTGTAATTGGGAGTCTATCCATTTAGTAGTTGTTAAATATTTAATTGATTTATTTATGTTTAAAGTGGGAAGAATTAATGAAATAAATGGAGCAATAGGTGTCCATTTCACCTGAGACTTCTTTACTTTTTATTTCCTCCATGATCAGCTATAAATTAACTGGGGTCGACTTGACTAATTCACCTGATAGATCCTTTTGGAAATAGTTTTTCCTTCTTCCCTCAATAAATCGTGGGTCGAACGACTCCCTTGACGGGATCCCCGTGGATTCCCTCTCCTGTTTTTTCCCCAGTTTTTCTCAACCCGTAAGATAATTCGTTTCGACATTTTGTTTCGTTCAGAATTCTATTTCCCCAATGGCAGTGTAGCTTGATGAACAAACTTGCAAATTACCGACGCTAAACTCGAATGGATTAAGCCACTGCATTCATACCATCTCCAGCTCCGAGGAAATTAAATTAGAATTGTTATACATATGTAACCGGACGGCATTCACTGGTGCATGAATAAGAAAATGTTCGACATCCCCATGAAATTGTTGAATATTCCATAACGAATGAATATTCTGTTCCCCAATTGCGACCAGTTCAAGTAAAAAATAAATCATCAAGAAGCTCTCGAAAATATTTAAACAATTCGTTAAAAATACCACAGTAATTCTCTTCCATCGGGTAAAGATACTGAGGATATATAAGAATGAGAAATAATAACAGAAAAGGAAATAAGTGTATCCACTCGAGTTAGTCTGTAAAGTTTTGGTGAAGCTCTCGCGGATTATTGAATCATACCGTTATTTTTCACTGGCTAATTCTTTTCCCTCCATTTTTATTTTCCAGTTTTAGACTGCATTGTCTCAGGATGGGGTCAATGGTCAGCTTGCGACAGCGATTGTGGTCCTGGTGCTCAGTCTCGTTCGAGAATTGTCGAGCGAGAACCGGAAAATGGAGGGAAGCATTGCCCCCAGCTGGTGCAACATCGCGGATGTCAAGGAGTTAAATGCCACAAGCGAAATCCAAAAAGTGCACTCAAAGGTGAATCATCCGATTATTATTTCATAAATCAATTTAATATCTAGGTGGAATATCAATATCACCGCAATTTATGGGAAAATAGAGAAATACTCATTAATAATCATTCATAATGATTAATAATCATGAATAATCATGAATAATCATTGAGAATAATTAATAATCAATGGCACCTCAACTTAAATGGACCATTCGCACGCACAAACGCAATCTCCCAGGATTAGGGTTTCTCTAATTGATGAAATCCCCTCAATAGCCACTAGCTCAATATTGCGGTCTTTGATCGACTCAAGATAATTTTGCATCATCCTCGAAACCAGCGAGATAGCCATCCGTACAGTATCCAACACGTACGCAAAATCCTGTTGATACGGCTATTCAGGGATTTCTAGGGCTGCTGTGGCCATAGAGAAGCCGGGAATCACTACCCGAGATAGGATCGGAAACTCTCACAAGTGGATTGTGAATGCACCTCTCAAGGAGCTAAATGTATTCAATGGAATTTCCACGGAGTATCATTTTTTTATGTTCTCGTTGAAAGAGTTATTCATGGAAAAAGCGAAGTCGTCTAAACAGTCTATGAATAAAATTTCAAAATTCCTGGAAAAATTGATAAAAATTTATAGTGAATAATATTAATAGAATTTTAGGAGAGAATTAAGTGGAGTAATCAATTGTCTTATTCGCAGAAGTGGCGCTACTTCTGCCAGCAGAGCTGAGTGAGATGCGTCACATTAATGACAGTAATGACATCAGAACGAATCTACGATTGCGTTACAAAGACAATTCTGCGTATGACGCCTCCAAAGAGTGAGTATTACATCACGAACATTCGATTACATCATCTGGCACTTATTGTATGTCACCTCAAGCCCATATAAGAGCCGTCAATTGTGAAAGACTCATTTGTCGAAGACTTGGAGGATAATCTTTCCCAGGGATTTCCCAAACTAATCAATTATTAATTGAGTACTGAAGAGGCAGAGCATTTCTCAATTTGTCCTCTATTTTTTCAAACGAGAATTTTTTCAATTTTTTCAAAAAGTCAAAACGTCAAAAAGAGAAATATTGAGTATAAAATTCCGGAACAAATAACGCAGTCCGTACAATCCGTGAACATTTAATCGTTGGGAAAAAAATGACGGGATGACTTGCTGTGAAACAGATTGAGTCATTGGAGCGGTGGAAAATTTAGAAAAAATATATAATGGAATTGACGTGACAGTTTGTAGAATTTCTGTTGGAATCACAATGTTTATGGTGGGTTTCTGGTAATTTTATTGGGTATTTCTCTCTGTACCCCGGCGTAAGTGGAGATTAAGCTGTGATTAATTTGAGGATATAACTCCGTGAGCCACATCAAGTCGTAATAAATGGTGAAATACAGCCCCAGTGAAGGAGACAGCGCATGTCTCGACATTAAGTAACGTGTTACGTAGTCTCATGAGGACAACACCCGCAACATAACTGTGCATAACTCCATTCCTTGTCTGTAATAAAGGCTAACGAGACCTGTGGCACTGTCGAGATAAATAATGAAGCCTCATACACTGTCCCCAACACATACGGCTGTGAAAAAGGCTTTGGGTTGAATAATACAGGGTAAGACTGCAGTACTTGAGAACATAGGAGAGAAAGTTAGCTGTGGAATGCTTGACGATCAGAGTAAAGTGGAAGAGATGATACAGGATGTAGATGTATCCTTCAACGTTCCACTCCAGGTTTTACCGAGGGGATGGGAAGATTGAGGACTGAAAAGATGCACCGGGGAATGAAATAAATGGCCGGTGTACGTGCACCTTGAGTGCAGAGATCATTCACAATGTGGCGAGCTTTTATTTTGGGTTCTCCAATCCCATCATTCCTTCAACTCAATTATTTATTTATTCCTGACGAAATCGTCATCAAATCAACACCCCGAATACTCCCCAGTCTCAATCCAATCTCTTCTGGTTTGCATTACAAATTCTTGCCGCACTCATCCAGAAAAAAATCCTCAAACTTAGAGTCTTCTTGAGGTAGACAGACTGAACTCGGTGCCAGGTGGAGGCTGTGGAGAGGGGTAAGAGTGCTGAGAACTTTGTCAAGAGAAAAGAAAAGTTGGTGAAGAGTCAGGGCAGGTATAAAATTATAAACACAAAGTTGAAATGTTTTGAGAAGTTAAAGAGCCTCAGTTATTCCAACTTGACTGGGACGGGATAAAATAGTGGAGGAGACGTTGGCATCCGCTGGGAAAAAAAAATTTCAAGAGACTGGAGAAAAATGAAACGAAATTGAGGATGATGAAATTGACGTTTATTACGAGTTTGAGAGGGTGAAGAGGAGACTGAGGAGGGATATTGGGGAGATATGGCAATGTTGATAAAATTGAAACGTGAATAATGCACCGGAGTTTGTGTACATGTTGAGTCACTGGGACGGGGTGGAGGGATGGGGGTTCTTGGTATCGGGTTATGGAAACCCCAGGGGTTGAGAGTCCAAGGGAACTCCATGCAGATGCATCTTACGCGAGAGATGAGATTCCCGGTGCAACAAACCGATAAGATCGAAAGATGAAATGAGGTTTTATCATACATTCCGCTTCGATGTCGTTGACACTGCATTGTTACATGGAGATAAATATTCAGTAAATGTTACCGAACAATTCGTATAATCCGAGAGAAGAAATCGTTTTCCCGTAATGTATTATAAATGAAAGAAAGTAAAATACTTTCTCATGTGATATGATCGGAACAAGCGGAATCTCAGGGAATTGTCGAACAATTATGCCTGAAAAATACAAAAATGTAGTTTCCACGTTCTGTCCCATAAATTTGTTAATCATTGGGACAAATGACGGATTTTTTTTCTCCGTGGAGGACAGACAATCCGTGTATTGCAAACAATTTAATTGAATTTGTCGAGTTTTTAGGATGGTGAAAGGCTCTTGAATGCCAAAATAAATGGAAACATGAAAAATTCGGCAGGATGCTTTTAGAAATTGATTCCACTCGATGATAAACTATCGCTAACAAACGTAACCCAATAAATTTGTTTACAATCCTCTTCACACGTCTGTTTGCCAGTCTCTTGAATGACTGTGCATACTCGTTGAATGTTAACCCAGTGATGTGCATTGACGATGTACATACATCGTCTACTCACGTATTTTCCTCCTCATTGTTGAGTAACCAGGCCTTGCACTAGGCTTCAGAGTGGCCCCCTTTTCAATGGCTTTCCCACTTCTTCCTTTGTACAGGTAAAATGTCTATTCTCTACCGTGCAGACGATTACTTCCGGCATCAAATGCACGTCTTCCGGATGACTAGTGGGTGCATCATGTGGAGAAAAGTGAGAGACACTTTGCGATCACGTCGAAGCATTTCGTCAGCACGTGGTCATTTTTCGGGCAATATATAAAAGAAAAATTATACCGAACTATACGATTACCACACGTCGAGGTAAATTCATCTGCAAATTTTTCTCTGCGCAGTTCGTCATTTTATTCGGTGTAAATTGATTGGATGGGGACGTGCGTTTGACGTCATTCATCTGCATACTTTTACAAACATGGGATCGTCAATCCGTCGATAAATTCTTGCTGACGCAGGGGCTGCAATTTTGTCTAGACTATTTTTTTGGCGGACAATCTAGTAAAGTGCTCGATTTGATGCGAAAACGTATTGCTTGTTCTCGAGTGGGGGTTGCCATCATTTTTCAGGTTTTTTCTGATAAACTTTCCGACGCGTGTGAAAAAATGAATGCAGAACAGTATTGAGGATGAAATACAGGCTGAATTGTTTTCCAGTGGAAAAAATTTCCCCGTCTAATAACTTCCCCGACTTTCCTTTGACTCTCTGACAGTTGTCAGAAAATTATTTATTATAATAATTGATTGTTTGTGGGATTTGGAGATTGATCCGAATCTTCAGTGCTCATGATAAGTCACGGTAGTCAAAAGATTTCCCGTCAAATCCGCCTAATTATTTTGAATCCGTGGATCAATCGTTCAATTAGTAAAAAAACACAAACCGAAGGGGTGAAATAAAGGTGTAGTTGTGAGTAAAAAGGGGATTGTTCGAGAATACTGGAGTGGTTGCTAAATAATATTGCGATCTGATTCAGCACATGGAGATTGGCAGTAGTACGAGAGTGGGATTGGTCGGGCATGCTTTCTAAATTCGTTGCCACCAGGATGTCCGCATTGGTGTAGCCCAGGTATCTAAATTGGATTATCGTTATCTACCGAGTCTCAATGTGTATTTACATCGCTGGTTGTTATCGATAATCGAACGTGAGGTTCTGAGAAGTGAATTCCATCGAAAAATACATTAGCGAGACAACGGGATCGATGGAAACGGTTGGGAAGGATAAAAACCAACGATCACCTTTTTGTCCTCTTTTATCGGTATTTTCATATTTTCCATTCTCATTTTTCTCGTTTTTCATCCAGCTTTCTCATCAGCTATGGCTTTATGAAATGGGAACTCCAATATCCGTCAGAAATACTCAAGAAGATGAGGAGAACATTTTTTATCTTACTCTTCTCTTTAATCAAAAGTGGGATTCGAAAGAAATTCAAGAGAGATTGTCTGGCCACTTTTCATAATACTCTTTCAGAATTTGTTGGGCAATTTGTGAAGGATCTTGCGGAAGGAGAGGAGCAAGATTGCTGTGTGATTTATTGAGATACACCTGTCGAATACAACAGCAGTGGAATTCTCGTTTTTTCGTTTCCGTTGGCTTTGAAAATCGATAGCCCTTGGTGCATACCATCCCCACGATTCCAATGATATACATGTTGAATGTACATATGGCCCTAGTGAATGAAACCGTCCACGGTACATAACTCAAGCATTTTCGATATTACATCCATCCCGGGAATGAAAAGTTGGTGAATATTAAAAAGTAGCGAAAGAAAACTTCCGACATGCATCCTGAAAATTAAAGTGTCTTTTTTTCCTCTATCATATTCTCCTCTCATCCTTTTTCAATATTAAATCCATTCTAAAATGAAATTCACTACCAATAGAGCTCTCAGCAATCTACGGAAAATTTTTCCTGTACTTGATGGGCATGAATAAACGCGTGAATCCTTTCCCATATGCGACTAAAATGAGAGTGGAAAAATCTTGAATAATCCATCATGCTCTTTAGATTTCGCTTTGCTAGGTCATTTCGTTGTCAGAATTTTTATTATTTTAATTTTAATCTGCAAAAAACTCACTTCCAGCCACTCATTTTCAAGAGTTGAACAATGGAAAATTTGACGAACACACGATTTCCCGCTTTGGCCGACACGTTTGCAATTTTATTTGGAATAAAAATTCATTTATACCTTTTCACCATGAGTTTCTCCGTTATATATCCGGTAACCTATATACCCTGGAGGTTTTCCTCAGTGCGAACGATAGCTGAGATATACTCGGCAGTATCTCTATTGGAATTACGATTGCACTCGGTTCATATCTAAGTTGGCGAACGCCCGAAAATAAACTTTTCGAAAGGCTGAGAAACTCGCGCCAGCGGCCCCCCGACCATTTTTCTTTGGCTCATAGTTTTCTCCTCTCTATTTTATCTTCATCCTAACTCCAGCTCTCTTGTGGACACGAAGCGATATACTATAACCCCGGTATGAAGCCCAGGAAAAACTCATCGAAGACGAAGGGCAAGAGGCCATCGTGTCGATGCTCCCCTCAATCCCACGAGACCATTTACTTCTCGATTGAAAAGTTTCATTCATCAGGCTTCAATTCACGGAAGATTCCCATCTCTCGTATTTGTTCTTTCAAGTCATTTGAATCGAGACGGAAGGAGAATATTTATTGAATTTCATGTTAATTCAAAAGAGATCCCACCAGCATAAATGGTGGCCTCTCGAAATTTTATTCAATAATAATATTGCCATTGGAAATATTTCAAAAAAAATATTATCTGTCAGAATATTAAATGTAAATATATTATGTAAATATTCCTTCGCGAAAATATTAGCCCGAAAAATGGTACACATCGAGATATTACGATATCATTATATTATATACCAAATATGAGAATTTATGTTTATAAATTTGTTTTATATATTTTTCGCTGTAATATTTTTCTGTCACAATATTTCGACGCAATATTTTCTTCAAATATTGTTGTAATATTTTGATAGGTAATCTCATAAATACTTCAATGAAATTCGTGACCCCGGAAAGGTACAATGAAGAAAAATCCACTGCCTGACCCGTATCTTCCGGCAATATCTCAAGAAGAATCTCTTCTGTTTCAGATACTGTGTGACATTCACCGTAACCAAGGCATCAAAAGCATGTGTCAAAGAATCCGGACTCTCAGAGCTATCAGAAGGTAAGAACAAGAACAATAAAATTGAAAGAGAACAGAAAGAAACTCCAGAGCAAGATAAAACTGTAGAATAGCGAAGATGGAACAGGACGTAGGAACACGAAATGCTGTTATCAAATGTTAGCTATCAGTCTCGTCATCGTTTTCCAGTTGAGATCTCCAACTCCCCATTGACATTACTTTCTTTTTTTTTTCTCATCCCCTTATCGTTTTTGTCGCCAATCGGAAAAATGAGGCGCTCCTTCAGGCAATCCATGACGAAAAAACAACGAACGTGATATGAAATGGAGGTGGACGTATGGCTTTGCGGATCGAATTAATCTAAATAAACGAGAGGAATTTGCATGCAGCTGAGTTACTGCGCTGGAGATCCGGCGTTACGAAATTGGCGGAAACTCGTCTGAATCTGGCTTGACTGACTGGAGGATATATGGCATCCTGTGAGCACTCCCATGCATATGCATGGGGTTCTAGCCTTCTCGTTTGTGATACCGAACTCAAGGAGTTCGTACTGAGCCATCAACCTCGTCAAATCGACTGTAAACCGTTCAGCTACTTGCTCAGCAATTTCGCACGACATGAGTGCGAGAAAAAAAATCGTAATCGTTGAAGGAAAAAAAATTGCTCTTCCAAAACTGCATTGATCTGATATTTGTGTTCTTAATTAATCTTTCGTTGGAGGAAGTTATCGTGTGGAAAACAATTTGCTCGAGTCAAAAAATTATATAAAATTATCGTCCAGTTGAGGATGTAGCTTTTGAACGGAGGGAATTTTTTTCTCTCAGTGTTCACGTCCAACTCTCCATCTTTGCTAATTACCGTCCAGAGCAGTCTGTTGCAAATAGCAGAGAAATCTGATGTTAAATGAGTGGATCGAAGCACAACTCTACTCCCATGGAGTTTCATGATGACTTGTTCTAATGAGATTTTTTTTTTCATTCCAGGCTCGAGGGTATGTGTGCGCTGTCAGACCCAGGCACTACGTCGTGTTCTCGATTGGCGATGTGAAGGTGACGGTGGTACCGAGGCAATGATTACCAGATGGAGCATACTTTCTACACCCCACTGTCACGGAAAATGGCTTCGTACTAAAAAAACTGGACCCGAGTGTGATGCCTCATTGTGTCAGCCCAAGCCGCATTTCATCTTCGTCTGAGCCCCATTACTTCTCTTTTCCGCCCATTTTTATTCAGCAGCAACATTATAACTACCGTGAGATGCAGGAGGTTAATTACTTTCTAAGGAGCATGCTAAAAAGCAGAACAAAGTGTCCACGTCTAATTCAAATTGCCTCTTCCCCGGTGCACAAGTTGATAAATCATTACAATGGCATTTTCATTAAATTCCTTCAGCGCACTCACAGAGAAAACTTCTTGACAAGATTAACTCGATGCAATAAAATATTCTATTGTCAATTTTTCCAATTGTCATATGATCATATGATGGTCAATTTTGCTTTAGCGCACTGATCTTGTCGAGTTGAAGTAATAAATGCTGTGGTGACGAGACAGTTTGGATGATTGATGATAGCAGGTATATTTGTAAGTTATTTTATAAATTGAGTCCACATATCAAAGAATGTATTTTTTAGCCAATAAGCAATAAAGTCATACGTGTGGTACCCATTGGAATCACTCATTTCTGTCTGTGACGTGGACTCCTTTCTTTGCTCGTTGAAGCGTTTTAGTTTTAATTGCCAACTTCCTGTAGAGATCCGTTGCGCGTAATGGTTTCCGTCGAGCTTAAAAGCCCCGACCGACATTTAACTTTGGTAGCGCGATTTTCAGGGAGTACAGTAATACGTCTTTATGCTGATGTTACCGGCAACCACAGCTTTGTATCAATAGTTGCGTCGGTCTTAATGGATTCCTTTGAGGTCTCTCGGTATTTCGAAAAAGACGTTTGAGCATTTCACTGGATGTAAGTGGAAAATGTCAAACAATGGGAAAATCCATTTGGCCAAAATTATTCGTTGTTTTCACATTTTTGAGAATGTTAAGGACCCACTATGTGTTTATTATAAATTATTCATTAAAAATGAATGATTTTCAGGGAGAAATCTCATGGAGGGAATGCAATCGCTCATTTCAACTAGAGTATCGCTTCCAACCGGAGGACTTGATGAATTTTTTAATAAATTACAAAAGCGCGAAGTATCGGAAATGAGTTGAGAGAAAAGTAAAAAATTGCTGTTACCGGCACCTGTGAATCCCCGGGAATTGTAATTCAGTTATTAACAAGAGCCGAACGTCATGGGCTTCCATTGTACTTTTTAACCTGAATGGCAGACTGGCGAGAACCGGTTAACGAGTTTTTATAATTAGTTCCTGATCGGACGAGCTTCCAGCACATGATTACAAGTGAAACTTGTCATAAAGGAATATTTTAAACACGTGAAGAAGGATCGTTCGAGGGTAGTTTAATTGGTTCAGCGAAATAATTTTTCAATATTATTCATGGGTCCTGATGGCTGTGATGAGGGTCGAAAATTAATCGATAAGTGTAATTAATTTTCCTGTATCATTCAGATATTTATGAATTTACTGGTAATTATGGCTGGAGAGTGCTATTCTGATGGAGGACTTCAACGTCGATTACAGGTACGCTCAGAGTCGTTACGTAAATTCAATTTCTCATGTAATAAATTGGAACGGTACGTTTATATCGCTCGAAACTTCAGATAAAACTCCACCCAGCATTCAATTTCATCAAATATTTTATCTAGTGAAAAGCTAAATAATCGATTGATAAATCTGCTGAAATTGGAATTTCGAAGTTCAATAGACGTCAAAGGGAAAATCGTTGGTCGACATTTGATTTATTTTCGAAATCAATTTTGGAGGGTAGTTTGTAGTAAAAATCAATTGAGGTTGATTAACACCAACACTTCCTCATCATTAATCGTACTTTAGGACGTAAAGTGAATTTGCCAAATACTGAATGCGGATATTTTGTCACATAATTTAGTTCGACACTATAATGTCGGTGAATGTGCAACTGCACTCTGAGAGCTCATTCACTGGTCACAAATTAAATACCCCAACCATCATTTCCATATCTGCCTGCACTCTCCTGCTAACAGCATTTTGGGTAATGAATTGGGCGGAACAAATAGTTCTGGATGAACTTCTATTGAGTCTCAAAATTCCTCCACAAAAGCTTTCCATCGGTCATATCTCACAGCCCGAAGCGAAATTAATAAATAAAAACTGAGGTGAAGTATTCTCTGATTAAATGGATGAACCTTTCTCCTGTGCGAATGCAATAAATTTTATCGGAAAATCCTGACATTTTGAAAAAGACCTTTTGAAATAAATGCGAATGGCAGCCGTCCATAGACAACTGATAGTTCCAGCCAACGGGTGAAGACGAAACGACTCATATTCGTTTCGATTCACTGAGCCGAACAGAAAATATACTTTCTCACCTCTCATGAACTTGAGATTGAACGCATCGGGCGGAACCCACTACTTGTCCCACAATAATAGAACACCCTCCATTTTCCCTTCAGACACTTTCCACTCTCCAATCACTATTTTATTTTTCACTCAGTTTTCAGTAAAAACTTGTCAGCATCAAAAGGACAATCTTATTTTAAGACCTCATGGGTCTTAAATAATAATCGGGTGGGGTGAACGATTTAGAAAAAATGCAACCGATATTTCAGTCAGTCTTTGATAGTTTGGATTTTTGTCTGAAATAGCCAATATACTTTTCAACGATTGAAAATGGCTTCCCCATTTTCAATAAGTTCAGAAATAAATTCCACAAAATGAAGACGATACTTCAATGGGCATGCAGTCATTGCTATCCTTGCAAATAATCGCGTAGATGTTAAATAACCCGTATAATGTAATTTAGTCCTGGATTATTTGTCGACGTATCCGGGGATTAAATAAACGAGAATGAATTGCACTTTAATAACAAAAAAATGCATTGGGGCAGTACTTGCATTTAATGTTCATGCCGCGTGTTCAGTTATTGTTTCAGTATTGAATTTATTTTTAATATGGGATTGAATCCAATTCCTGGACCGGGGAATTCAATGGCCGGTGCTTTTGTGGAGCTAGTGTTTTTCCTCGGATTTATTCGTGTTTCAATCATACGGAGTCCCATTTTTCTCGGGGTGATTCCCCACGTTGGCTGTTGGCATTGCTTCAAACCCCTCAAACATCTGTGGGGTTGCCTCGCTTATTTCTTCGAGCTATCGGAAGACAATTCCCTCGGTTGAAGAGAGTTATGGATTTCGGTAGTGGTAGAATATTGTTTTTATTATCTTCAATTGAAATTCAACTTGGTATTAAAATAATAAAAATCTAGATTCAACGAAAACCGAAGATAATTTCATTATAAGTCATTATAATGTAACAAATAAATATTATAACAATAGAAATTATTGTAATATTTTATTTGAAGACTTAAAGGGAATTTTTCCTTATCACGGAAATTCTCTCTCCCCGAATGAAATTGATAACATGCGACTTTTCATTTTGTTACTTTGTTATTTCATTTTGTGTTCATTATTATTATTTTCCACCGGTGATTGGAGAGAAGAGAAGGGAAATATTCCGCTATTACAATGCGAAAATTGAATTTCCAAACTGGTATCGCTAACGAATGTACATTTGATTAAAAACTCCCGGTTATTGAATGAATACTTGAAAAAAATATCAGTCAATTTACCCGACACATTCCATTTGAATTGTGAATACCACAATTTTTGTTTCTAAAAAAGGGATGCAGTTGCGTTATTCTCGTTTGCGTAATTCCGCGGGTGAATTGGAAAACCTTTGTGAGAGGAACAATCTGGCGGGAGGAAACAATGCTCCCAGTCGCCGCCATAAAACAATTTTAAATGAATTTCAAACAATCTAACGGGGTTTTAAAAACACATGCAAAAACACTTCCGTAGCTTAGCTGAAGTAATGACATTTTCCCTAACTAATAATAAGAGATGAAAAACATTTTTACCACGAGAAGGCAATGAGCGGCTAAAAAACCAGATCACGAAGGCGAGAAAATGAGAGAGAGATATCGGAGGAAAATTAACGAGTTTCCCGTATAAAGTTTCCCGGGAAGTATCGTTGTAAAAATTAAGATGGCGGACGGAGACCCGGGGTCAATAACGGATTATTGGCTTCCTGCATCCAACCTCCCTGCTATCTCTGTAGCTATCGGGAGATATTGCAGGACACGTGAAGAGCCACCAGGTTAAATTGTAACCCGAGAAAATAGAGGATGAAATAGTGTCGTATTACTATTGCGTCACTTTACTACTTGAAATTTCACACAGGTCGACAGAAAAAAGTCCAAATAAATCCATTTATTATCTATCCAGATAAATAATAAATGGAAGTCATTTCGTTAAAAAATTCAGATAAAAATTCCAGATGTTATTATCAATGGGATGAATCAACAGCATGAAATTCTGTTACACCCATGTCTCGACAGCTAAATGTGAATCCTCCTCGGGGGAAATATCTATTTATTTTCGAGTGACTTCGAAATTTGTCAGGAGTGAAGAGTTACTGAGAACACAATCTCAAGAAAAACTACAATATTTAGTCACGAAGAAGCCCTGGAGTTTCAAATAGTAATTCACTGTAAACCGCAAATTCACCCAACCGAATTGAAACATAAAATTTGCACCACGTCTTGATGATGTACCTATCCCATGTTCCCCTAAATATCCCTCAAACTTTACAGGATATGCTCTTCAGAAGTAACAATGAGCTTGCTCCATCATAATGAATTGTTCAACTCAAAATCCATACAATAGCATTGTGTACCTCACGAGGATCCTTTGGAGGTGGAGTAATACCTATATCTTGTCGACAATTGTACATCTCCCTCTCGTATCTCGCGCACCATACGTCAAATTTCCCCAGAAATTTCCACTACACTTCTCCAAAATTTATATCACATGTCGACGTCCAGATGAAAAGGGTCACTCCTAGCTCCCAAGGGATTCTCTTTTTTTTATGAACTAGAAAACGGATTTATCGAATTATTTACGTTTTTTATTTATGAAAAATCTCAGTCGTCTATCAATCCACTAATTGCCAGATATTTTATTCATCTATTTACGTTTATCGGAGCATGAAAAGATTTTTCAAATTAGGAATAATTTCCAGTGGCTGTCTCCCAAATTTAATCGAGCGATGCTCTCCATAAAATTTTAATGTTTTCTGACAGTGCACATGCGACTAAACCATGTGTGAATTGTCAACTGATGCTGAAAACCGAAAGATAACCAGAGGCTATTTTGCCATAAAAAATTCATAGAATATCGCGAGGACATGAGTATAAAAATGCAAATGTTGAGCGGTATTCCACGCGGTTGATAAAAGCATTCGAAACATTGGAAAAATCATAAACGCAGGGGGCGGAAAAGGGTGAAAAAACGATCGACTAGTGAATAATAAAAAGGAGAGAATAGACAGGTGTGGAGGCAGAATGCCGCCACGGAGACACGGATGGTTGGGGCGGTGAGGGGGTGGTAAAGGGGTGGCAAGGGGATGGTGGAAATATTCACGGTGTTCGCTTTAATATCACGTTGGATGCATCTGTTCGAGCCAACCTATAAGTACGAAATTACGTGTGAACACTTGTGC